ACTTAACAGGGTTCTCACCAGAAATGTTTGACATCTAATTAATTCCATCGCATTGACGTTACCGTACCTGTGTCTTTTTCCTGTTTTTCTTCCTCTTCTTTCCTTCCCTGAGCGCCACTCTTCATAATGTATAAACCAATCGGAAATCTGCAGCCAAATACTGCCTGTGCATTCCGGCCACTTCCCCTCCTCCGCTTGTGGTGCCCCCGTGAATGTCGGCGCCCTTAGCATTTGCCTATACTGCCTATGCCTAGGGCCTGCTTTGCCCAGATGTTCATTCCGCAAAACTTGCGGCTGAGAGACTTTGCTGGGCATCAGGACAGAGAATGGCGCTGGAACTGCGGCGATCGGTTGTGATTTGGACATACTACACCAACACAGAGTCCGATTCCCTGAGAGAGAAGGAAGCGCAAACGGTTTGAAACAAAGGGGGAGGAAGAGGGCCGAGATCCATGTTAAAGGCTAACCCCTCCAGCCCAGCAGGACCGTCTTCCTACTCTCCAATGTCCGCCCCCTCGACAACAAGCTGGACGAGCTATGTTTGCTGAGAGAAACCCATAGAGAGTGGAGAGACTGCTGAGTGTTTGCTTTTACAGAAACATTGCTCCATGACACCATCCCAGACGGACATACAGCTGGAGGAGTTGACATTGTTCGGGGCGGACAGACAGACAGCTAGCTCTGGGCAGCACCTGCAGCTTCACCATCGTTACACCATCGTGTGTGTCTTTGAGACCCTGAAGACCTACCAGGACCTGAAGAGGTTCGCCATGTTCAACGTGATGGCGGTGCGCATGGAAACCATCACACATTAAAGACACTATGTAGGCATAGTTCTTAACACAAACATTTGTTAATAACAGTAACATTAATACTGAAACCGAAACCTTTTACTTCCTATAAACAGGTTTAAAATTATTGGCTGTTGAAGTATATGGGGTCAGTCCTTTATTGAGTTTAGTTGTATTTTTTTTGCTAGGAACTACTACGCATTTATTTACACCTGACTCCCAAAATGTCAGTGCCACCTACCATAATGAACAACCAAATGACTCTCCCTTTCCCATGGGAGGATATGAAAATCTGGTTCAGAGTCATGACACGTGATTGCCAGCCAGGCTATGAAGAATAACAACAAACCAAGAAACTGAGAAGAGCCTTGCTGGAACTGCAAGCTTCCAATAACTTACCTGGACCGTATATCATCAAGACCAATACCCCTTTTCGACTGAGCTGATTCCAGTGCTAGTTCAGAGCGAGAGCCTGACTTAGCCCCAGTTCTTTGTGTTTCCACCACCTACACACTGGTTCCAGGTTCTCAAAAGCAGTGCTTAGCAAGCACCAACTCTTTGCTGTGCCACAGCTAAGAGCCGAGTATATCAGGGGCTGGGTTATTGTGACCAACAAGACTGGTGGAAACACAGAACTGACATTGTTAAGACAGCCGAGGGAGTAGCTACATTTTTGAAAAACTCAATAGATAAACATGGATGCCAAAGCCAAGCAGCAGTGGTTTGAGGAGTGCGTCCTGGCACTGTGGTCTTCGACTGAAATCCAAAATAAGTTAGAGGGAGCCTCTCGGACCAAGCCTGCATTCGAAAAAATCCAGCGGGAGATGGCTACAGCCGGGTATGAGTGGACCCTCGTCCAACTCCTCAATAAACTCAAGAAACTGAAAAAGGAACTACATTGACCAGAAATGGCTATGGTATGTAGTGACATAGTGACATGATGTAATGGCGTGGCTCTAACTTGGTTCCTTGCCAATGGAAAAGCAAACAGGTTCTTACAAAGTGCCAGTAAAAGACTTTTACTAGCTCTGCTTTGGGCGTTAACCATTTGTTGTATTTAATATGAGATGACGCTATGAGATGACTGTTGTTGTAAATATGCGCTATACAAATAAAATTGAATTGAATTGAATTGAATTGAATATATTCATCTGAGCAACATAGTGGCCACACAGCAGGGCATTCTGGTAGATAGGTTTAGATGCATATAACATAACAGGACCTGTCCAGCTGGGTTGTATATCATTCTTTTGTCTCCTGTCTTGTTTCCTCTCTACCGCGCTATCTAGTTAAAGCAAAACATGCAACCTGTACAAGTAGCAGTTCATTTTTTTCTTTGGGGTCTCCCACAAGCTAAACTCAAGCCTGGCCAGGGGTATAAAATGCTTTAAAAGAACAAGTGACACAGAGGCTATCTACAAGAAGGGCCTGAGCTGCCTCTACTTCCTCAAGAGGCTCAAGTCCTTCAATGTATGCAACTGCATGCTCCTGATGTTTTATCAGTCTGTGGTGGCGAGTGCCATCTTTTTTGCTGTGGTGTACTGGGGCACAGGTATCAAGGTGAAGGATGCCAACAGACTGAACAAACTCATCAGGAAAGCCCAGTCTGTTGTTGGCTGCCAGTTGGTCACCCTGGAGGAGGTGGTGGAGCAGAGGATGCTGATCAAACTGCAGGTCATCATGGACAGCACCTCACACCTCCTCCATAAAACTGTGGACAATCTGAGGAGCAGCTTCAGCAACAGACTGATACAACCCTGCTGCTCCAAGGAATGTCACAGGAGGTCATTCCTCCCAACAGCTACAAGACTTTTTAATGCTTCATTATAAGCACATTTGCACATTCTGTCCATTTGCACATTTGTGTTATCTCTTATATATTCTTGTATATTTGTTGACTTTTCTGTATTATATTTTCTATATTTTTATCTTATTTTGTTTTACATTATTTAAGCTTCATTTTATACCCCAATATTCTGTGTTGTCTTTGCTTGTTTACCCCTTGTTGAATATTACAGCTGTAACAATAGAATTTCTTTCTGGGATTAATAAAGTCAGTATAAGTCTAAGTCTAAACAATATCCAATGCCTCACTTTCTAACTCCACAGACCTTTTAGACCTCAGGACATTACCCAGTGGAATCTTGTGTGAGCTAATGTATTGACCAAACCATACAGTATATCCCCATCTGTGGAATCAATGTCTCTGCACAGGTCCACAGTGCTGATAGGACCACATTGATTAAAAAAGTCATTTAGTTCATTAGTGCTCTCACACTTACCATTGTAGATTGGCTCTGACCTACTGGGTGACTTGAGAAGTGTCTCAATTTGTTTTTGTAGTTTGCATGCTGATTTGAGTACAAAAACAAAAAGAAAAAGTGAAGATGTACAAATGTAGGCTATTCATAGCTCATAAACAAAAATGTAAAATTAAAAAAAAAAAAGTAATGCTGGCAGTATTGTTCACAATGTTTCTTAAGAGGTGGGATGTTTCATTGCTTATTTGTTTTTTGTATTGGTTTTGCTTTGTTTTTTTGAGACAGAATTGTAAACTGTTCAGCATAAACCAATGTTTTTTTGGGGGGTAAAAACGTTTTGTAAATATGATGTGATGCAGGGAAAGTCAGGTGTACAAATATAAATACATTAATTGCAAAGATTGTACATATCAGATATGAATTTCTTTAACTTTATCAGGGACAAACATCTTTTGAGCATCTTTTGTTTTGCCCAAAGATTCCTGTTAATATTTGGAAACATCACTTTCAAAACTAAAGAAAGCAACTAGACAGTATCAAGTAAAGGATTGCTGCAGGGTGAATGAGCATAGCTATGATATGGTATAAATGTTAGTGTCATCACACTGTGGTAGCACACAGTCAACAGAATTGGTTGATACACATTTGCATGCCCTCTTATGGGATCTTGGAGTCATTTGCAAAACCAGAACAAGACTCCACAACTATTTATACACTATCTGAGCTCTACTGCCCTCTATTGTTACAAGTGAAGACTGCATTTGCTAGTGTAAAAGTCTCCGCTGCACTTGTTAAAGTGCTGTTAAATGTTAGCGTCTGCAAATAGAATATCTACTGCTCCAGTCCTAATGTTTAATCTAACTGACTATGAGGTTGATTAGATATAATTCTACAAATGTACACATCCTGTAAAGATCAGGGCCACTAGATGAATGCAACTGTATTTTTTTAGGTGTTTAATTGCATCATTGCAGGGCTACAAAGCACCCAAAAGGTAAGGGTGGTGATATTTTTTGGATTATTTTTTCGTTTTTTGACACATTAGGTGTAACAGGGTATAACAGTAATCCCATTGCGTTGAAGCTACTGTGTGTTTCTAACAGCCTTTCAAAAGAAAAAATGCACAACAAATGCATAAAACATCATTTCATTTGTCCTCTCTGTAGTGTTTTTAATGTTTTCTATGGGCTCCCTAAGGGTCAAGTGGGGACTTTTGTTCTGGGCTACTTTTATGTTGCCTCATCATAATTTTTGTAATGTTTTTTTTATTTTTTATTTTTGCAAGCTATGGTGAAGATATATTGCACGGAACCACAAAACTTTTTTATGTGTAGGAAATGCAAATGCAAAAGTTGCCCAGGAAAAAATCCCTATGGCCCTTCAGTACAATTTGAAGTTATTCAGCTGGTTGTTAAGTGTCCCACTCTTCACCAGAAATTAACCTATTCAAATGAAAAGAAAAACTGGTAATGTGTGCGCTGTGCGGAGTTTTTCTGAATCAGTTCGAGGCTGACACTGTGAGCGGCTTGCTTTCTGGCCAACAAGCTTGATATAAATGTTCAAGCATTTTACAGTTTGTTTGTTTTTTTGCCTTAAACAAATTGGTTCTGGTATTGTTTCATTTTCTTCAAATAATGACAGGACGAGCTGGAGAAGCAGAGTGATTTGCATAATGATGGCACTGGTAGAAAAGCATTTTATTCCAAAAATGAACAAGAGATAAGGAACAATGCACAAAATACATATATTTTAAACAGCATACATACAAGAATGCATCGTCTTGCATGGTTCGTATTCATATAAAAATCAGGCACAACTGCAACATAGAACAAATACTGTTCCACAAAAATGTGGCAGGTTATTTGAAAACTACCTTTCCCTGTATCCTTTGCGAACCACAATTGGACAACGAGCCAATCTGCGCCATGTTAGCATGTCACGTGACGTAGAGTGAGTTCCTGCTGTGGCTTGAGGGAAACAGATCGACATTCAGCCACGGGAGAATCGCACTTTGCGGGTAAGTTAAGATATTTGGCCGGCAAGAGGCCACCTGAGTCCATATTAAGTGTTCTTTGGAGGGCTTTGCCGTAGGTTTCGGTGCACTGTAGGCCAGAAATAGCCTGAATTTCTTGTGTAACAAGCTGTCGTTCCGTGCAGGCCTACGCTATTTCCTGGTGCAACTCCACAGATGTGCCTATTGGAATGGCCAAGTTGGAAAAGTTCAGTTTTGGGGTTTTGCATGAGCTTTGTTCTTCTCAACTCCGAATTTAACTATTCTGTGTGCTCAGATTTTGTCATGAGAATTTCCCTGTTGTGAAGCCGAGTGCCTTTTCGACGGTGAAAAAGACTGAAAGGAACACTTTGGCTCTGTATGAATATCTTTGATCTGGGTATTGACACCGCAAACTACTCCTTGGGTTATTTTGTCTGTGGTGCATGCTAGCTAACTGTACCACCCCGAACTGCATTGTGCCACAAACCCTTGAACTGCTTTTAATCAAAACAACTCTTTTTTCTTTTTTTAAGAGCAGCCATATTTAGTCCTGAACGTGTTTCTGTTATTCCCAGCATTTTGACATTTTATTTACTGGAACTGATTTGAACTCGTTAAATATAAGCCAGTACCCATTTGCATATATACGCAATATATATGTATATAAATAACAGTGTGTATGCCTGTGTGTGTGTATGTATATAAAAGAGAGTATGTGTAATGCAATATCTGAATGAGACTAGAGGCATCTCTGTGCTCTGCGACCTAGCTAACCTCAACCTTTGCCATGTGAGCTGTTTAGGGAACATCAGTAAATGCTAGTGTCTATTGCTATGCACATGTTCAACAGCTGAGGCATTTTAGACAACTTACACTTTCATATATATTTTTCATCTAGGAAATGCACTAAATTCAGCTGAAGAAGAGCATTATTTTATTGTTTTTTATTATGTATTTATTTGTTTTAAACCAAAGCAGCACTCTGTTTATTAAAATGTGAAAGTGCAATAAAACATTTTGGCGATAATCGTGCGGCCCTAGTCAGTTGTTAGGAAATATTTCAGCTACAGAAAGCATTAAGTCAACCAAGGACAGGTAGTCTGCCGTTTTACTATTTAAATCAGTATTCGATAGCCAGATCTGAATGCCATCCAAAGCAAAAACAAATCCATCTATCTTTGCCAGTGTTTCACTGTATGACGAACAAAAAATTCCCCCAAAATTCTGCTTTTTCAAATGTTAATAATTACATTTGAAGAGACACTCCTCTAAAAATCACCTTAATCATTCTAGAATGATTAGCTTATTCCAAATATAGTTATTCAAGTCATTTGGTGAAAAATTCTGTGTCTTCGTATTGCAGAAAAAACATATCACTATGTCAGTTTTATCCAGTTTTGAGTATATACAGTTGTGGGTCACAAACTTTTGGAGCAGAGTTGTGCGCTCTGTGATTCTGGGTCAGTCATTGTGGCTACCTTTCATCTTCACTGCAGAACAGTTGTTGGTTTATAGCCCGTTTTCTAAAATACTGTTCACTATCCAGGTTTATTGTGAGATAAGAACTTCTTATATAAATGCTAAAATATACCCTGCACTGATTCTAAAGCTATAAAGTTTTGCTATCACAGTTGAATAATTACCAAGCTCTAGCTCATGTTTTTGTGGTATGTCACAGTTACGCTGTTGCTGTCTGATCAAAGCAGAAATGAACAAGAATAAAAAATCTGCCCGACATTTAAAGGCAACTTGGTGCACATATGGTTTCAGCACGCCCCACCACAGACGTGTTTGAGTTGATGCTATAAAGGTACAGTGCAGATGTTTGATAAGATATGGGAAGCTGACTTCCCACAGGCTATAATTATTCACATAGGTTGTTAATTCTTCAAACTCCACCCTGCTCCCACAGCCTTTCTCAGAATGGGGAAGTGTTCACTGCTAGTAGTTTCATGTACAGCCACTTCAGAAAAAAAAATCAGACCCATTACTTTTTGCACACGTGTTTGTAAGTGTTGTAGAGTTCGTATTAAATGACTAAAATTTCAGTCTATACTCAACAACCTACAATACCAAAAGAAGAAAGTTTTTTTTTTTTTTTAGAAATGTTACAAAATACATTAAAAATTCGAATGAAAAAAATCTGTCATAAAAGTATTTATACCCATTACTGTGGAAATCAAAATTGTGGTCAGGCATCTCCTGTTTGCTTTAATTTTCCTAGAGGTGTGTCTAAAACCTGATTGTCCTTCTGTGGAAAACTAAACAGTCTTTGATTGTCTGTAAGTGGCCTAGCCAACGCCCAGAGTTAAACCCCAAAGAACATCTATGGAGAGACATAAAGATGGCAGTTTTAATATTTTAGCTATTCCCATCCAATGTGACAGAGCTTGAGAGGTGCTACCAGGAAGTGGGATGAGAGGAAGGAAACGCAATGGGATAAACTTCACAAATCTATATATCCAAAGCCTAAAAATGTAAATGTTTTTGAGCTTTCTTGATTACAGAAGAGTGTTTGATTCTCTTAGATGGACTGCCTACAGATGCTGCAGCGTCCACCTCAGTTGGTTTCTTTATTGATTGACAGTTTTGCTGAGTGTCCACTTTCAGTTAAGCTATTAAAACTTACGCCTCTTGTAGGCCATATACCCAGTGATGACCACAAAAACATCTTAGAATAGACTGCATGTAAACAGCCCTATCATCTCGTGATCTGACTCATTAGTTGAAAAAAATTTTGCTTCCTTTTTTGTGTCTGAAACAAGTTTCAGTTACATTCCTTTCCACGTTTCCTCTGGCTCTGTCTCTCTGACTCACCTACATACTTTCACTTTTTCTTCCTCTGTGTCTCATTCCTTCCCCTCCTGAAACTTGCTGCGGCTCAGACAGGTTCATTGTGACAGGTGCAACAGTAAGCATCATCTCCAAGATGACCTATAATGACCTCATTGTTGAATTTAAACAACAATAAAGGTGTTTTTAGCTTTAAATTCTCAGACTTTCTAATGATTGAAAGTTTTTGTTCAACCTTATGAAAATGAGATTACACATTTTTGAAGTAATAGATTCTGTTCATATTCTTTTCTTTGACTTGAAATGTATAAGTTGAAAATTTAGTTTTTTTCAGAGCTGACATTGTACAGACTATTAGTAATCAAGGAGACCGGTAACCAGTATTTGGAACAGATACACATTTGCTGTACAAATGGAAACTCTATTATCTTTTACATGTGTTCAATTAAAAGAGAAATTTTCAACTTGTATCCTTCAGTGCTGATAGACTATTAGTTCTGATGTCTAACAGTCAGGTAGTGCTGTGGGCCGAATATCGCTCAAAATTACTCCATGGTTTCTACAGGTAGGAAGAGATTGTTCCATCAGAGTGAATGTAATACATTATGAAATCAATCTATTTACAGAAAAAACACATACAATACTGGTAGAGTTGGGCATCAGGAATTGGCTTGCTTTACAGATGATATTGGACATTGCTATTGTTAGAAGAATTTTAAAAAAAAAAAGAGACCACATCACTATACCATCACTGTGCTATACTACAGCTGACTAAAACAGCTTTACTTCTAAGAATGTACATTTTAAACAAGTGCCTTAACAAATAGTTGACAGCATCATCGATCAATTAACGTTAAAGGAGTACCTACACTGTCCATACACTGATGGAGTGGTTTTTTTTTTTTTTAAACTATTGATATTTGACTTTTGGAGCCTATCCCAGCCGACTCGAGGCAAAGGCAGGGGACACCCTGGACAGGTCGCCAGTTTATCGCAGGGCTGCACTTAGAGACAGACAACCAAGCACACTCACATTCACACCTATGGACAATTTAGATATCACCAATTAACCTCAGCATGTTTTTGGACTGTGGGAGGAAGCTGGAGAATCCATAGAGAACCCATGCTGCATTGGGAGAACATGCAGAAAGATCCCAGGCGTCCTAATCAGGATGCGAACTGGGAATCTTCTAGCTGTGGGGGGACGGTGCTTGTCACCTTGCAGCCCCAATGTAACCATATTAATTAATGTACTGTAATTATTATATATAGTTTTTTTTATTGATTAAAGGACTAATGCCAAACTGTAAGGGTCCTGGATTAAAAATATTACTTAAAGTGAAAGTATGTAGATGAAAAGAACTATGTGGGGTAATACTAAATACATAGCAGAACAATATTATGTTTTCTCCCTGCAGTCACACTAATTGTTGCATATGTTATATTTGTGTTGAAAAATATATGTTGGACAGCATACTGCATTGTTTTTAGATTCGAAACTTTCAAATATAGACACTGATGCTTAGCTACAAAGTCCAGTTTGTGTCTGTAAGACTTTTTTTTTTTCAGTGAGTTTGGTCAGAAAGGCTGTTCTTGTTTTTTTCTTTAAAACTTCTGTGCAAGTTAGCCATGAAAAAAAAAGTAAGCTGGCTTCATGACACAGAAAATTCTGAGTTAAGCCCAATTTAGCTTGCTAACCTTCTTTTGTCACTTTTTCACATAGGTCTGCGATTCATGTGACGAGTTGAGATGAGTTTTTCCGGCGGAGTTTAGGGTGCTGCTCTGCAGTGTATTTTTAGGATGATTATTTTTTTCAATAGATGAAGTAATTTTTTTTTTTTTAAGTTGTAAAACACAAGCTTCTGAGAGGTGTTGCCATGACTACTCAGATCCAGTATTACAGAGAGATAAACATCCCCAGTGCACTGAACACCTCTTACTCACCTTACTTTTCCCTAACTATTGTGTGTATTGTTGGAAGCTGTAATTCAATATTCAATAAAGTGGACTAGTTAGTTAATTATTCATGATACAAGCTAATGGCACAAGTGGGCTTATTTGTGCTCAAAGGTTTCTCAACCCAAGTCAACTGGTGATACTCGGTTCTAAATTTGCATCTTTAGTTTAGATTTTTGCCTTTGACTGATTGATATAAAGCATACCTTTTAAGCAACATTGTCTTATGCTTGATATCAGGTAGACAATAAAATGTTACAAAAATCATGTTTAATTAGACTCTGTGTACAAATAATTAATTTAAGTGGGAAAATTTGTATTTTAAAGAATAATTTATTTATTTGTCTGCACAAATTTTTTACTCACTATCCCATAAGGCCACTTGGGCCCCAACTGATATTGTATAGTCCTCTGTCATTTTCATGCCATTTGGTCACCATGTATGCTCCAAATGGCAAACTTTTCATGGTTAGAAAATTAGCTTATGTCAATTCTTAATATGATTCTGCTGAGAACCGTTAACATTTTGAAGTCTGGCACCATATTAACTGAAAAATGAGAGCTTAGCTTTGCTGATGGTGTTTGCATGACACCATTAACAGTCTCTGTGTCTGTCATTCTCAGCCTGTGGAAGCCCCCTCCCTGAGCGATGGCCTCACCTGTCTCAGTCTACAACTCCAATGCCTTGGATGCACACATCGCCAGTGTAAGTGGATTTCTAAGTGTGTTTTGTCTGTCTTTATGGTGGATCTGCAATGGGATAGTGCACCAGTGCTAGCTAATTCTTGTAGAAATACAGTTGTGAACAACTCTTAATCTTCTATGATGGAATCGTATCACACATGCATCTTTGTCAGAAAAAAACAATCATGCATTTTAGTTCTTTCATAGATTTATTACTGTTCCTCTGGGAATATCACAATATCTGCTGGCTCAAAAATATATATACAACAATTCTAATATTTGCTACTGCACAGTGGCTCGGTTGGCCTGGGCCTGGGCTCTTTCTGTGTGGAGTTTGCATGTTCTCCCTGTACAGCGTGGATTCTCAGCAGGTTCTCCAAAAAAGATGTTGAGGTTAATAGACGTTTCTAAATTGTCTGTAGGTGTGAATGTGAGTGTGCTTGTTTGTCTCTCTGTGTAGCCCTGCAATAAACTGGCGACCTGTTCAGGGTGTCCTCTGCCTTCACCCTTAGGCCTTGTCCACACGTAGCAGGGTACTCACAAAACGAAGATATTTTCCTGTCATCCACACGAAATGATTTGCAGCATTAAAAACGATTCTTTCAAAAACCTCCGACCAAAGTGAAGATTTACGAATATTCCGTTTATGTGTCTGTATGTGGACGTCAATAACTGGGATTTTAGGTTTCAAAACGTCACTCCCTGCGACAAAATATGTTCTTACGTCACATATGCGACCTGTGTTTACATTTGGAAACAGCGTGGATGCCCTCAAAACTGTGTTGATGTTGTCTCTTGTCCAGGTGCATTTTGCTTGCTTGTTTTTACAAGCCCAGATACTGCTCAATATGCACAGGTGAAGGACAACGTTTAGGACGGTTATTTTACGACATAGAGAGACGGAAGTTTACTCTGATTGGATAGGATTTGGGAAACTACTGCCACCTAAAGGTTTGGCATGCCTATTAATGTGCTAATTCCTGGTACAAGCGCTCATAATATCACACATTGACTACTGCAACTCCTTCCTGGCAGGCCTCCCCACATCCACGGTCAAACCTCTGCAGATGACCCAGAATGCAGCAGCACGTCTGGTTTTCAGCCAGCCAAAAACGGCACATGTCACACCGCTGTTCAGATTGCTTCGCTGGCTTCTAGTTGCAGCCCGCATCAAATTCAAAACCCTGACACTTGCTTACAAAACTACAATGAACTGTCTCATTCACGTCTACACTCCCTCCCGCTCACTACACTCAACCAACAAAAATCGCCTTATTCAACCACCGTAACAAGGCCCAAGGTCGATAGCTAGGCTCTTCTCCTCTGTGGTTCCCCTGTGGTGGAGTGAGTTACCAAACTCTGTTCAATCTGCTGACTCCATCTCAGTCTTTAAGACTAAAGACCCAGCTCTTCACTGAACACCTTTGCACTTGACAGACTGAAAACAAACAAAAAAACAACAACAACAAAAATCCTATTACCTCCCACCAGTGGCGGCTGGTTACCACAGAGGGCAGGGGCGTCGCTCCCCAACTACTAATGACCAGATAAAAAGTAGTTCATTCTAACAAAATAATAAAATTAATAATAACCTCCCTATTCTTTTGCTATGTTAACAATATTTGTCTTAACAGATTTAACATTAGTCTTTAATGTGTGTTTACTAATTTTGCACTTCCTGGATGTGGGGTGCCGGCCACATGAGTGTGTATGTAGCTCGAAAAAATTTTCGTGATCATGTCACCTTGGTCCACGCTCTGATTGGCAGCTGCAGATTTTCTCATGGGGTGCAGCTCAATGCGTTCCGGACCCGTCCACTTTTGCTGTAAGCCAATTAATTTTGTCTTTATTTGCTTTTGTCCTCTGTGGTTAGATATCAAAACTGTCCTTCAACATTCTTACGACTGCGCTTTCTGACACCGTCACACATCTTTTCCCTTCCTCTTCTATACTAGATGACAGTTACTGTTGTGACATCTTAATGCGTTGGCCATGCTGTCAGTGAAGAAAAGACTGCTGGTAGAAAAGACCGCATGTAGAATACATGTAACTGGGTTCAGCCTCGGACAAAGGTGACATGAGAACGCCTTAGTTTATTATTTTTAAAGTCATTTTTGGTCACACACCTGTCAGAGCACACCACAGCCACCAAACAGCAGCTACTGAAGCCTGCTATGTGGGGCGTTTAGGGAACATCTGTAAATCGTAGCGTCTATCGGGAAGAGAATTTCAGCAAGTCATATGTTTTGCCTTTGACCAGGTGGGAGGTGCAACAAAATGAGAAAGTGGGTCGTACTGGTGCTACCAGTGAAAAAATTAATCTGGAGCCCTGAATACCATTTTTTTTTTTCCCCATTATTTCCATTGTGTGTTTTGAGTTTGTACAGATCCTGTAAATATTGATGAAAGCTTGATGAATGGTTTTGACATTTAGTTCTGGTAAGTCTTGATAATGTTAAATTAGATTATGATTAGAATATCCTCCAAAGGTAGACAGTTTGCATTCTTGTAAATAGTTGTGCCTGATGTTACTCATATCCTAATTTGTGATTTCAAATAAAAGGTAATTTGTAGACTGTGCCCCCTCCCCCCCCAAAAAAAAAAATTTCACCAGCTGCCACTGCCTCCCACACAGCCTGCTATTGGCATCAACGCCCTATCACACTTGAACTTGTTCTATGGCACTTATCTAGATTCTTTTCTCCTGACTAGATCCTTGCTTGTGTTGTATCCGTTCTTAGATGTATGTCGCTTTGCATAAAAGCATCTGCTAAATGAAATTGTGGAATTGTAGCTTAACAACACACCTATGCAGTTAGGTGTGGATGAATTTTTTTTTTAAAAACAAGGTGATGTGTAAGGGGGAGGATATTCAGTTTTATAAAAATCCTGCTTCGTGTGGGCAATGCCCTTGGCTCGCTGGGATAGGCTCCAGCCCCCCCGAGACCCTAATGAGGATTAAGTGGTGTATAGCTAATGGATGGATGGAAATCTAATATTTGCTTAAATGTCTTTTGGCCATTTTTACCTCAATTAGGTGCCTTTGATTGCCATACACAAGCCTCTGGCAAGCTTCTGGTTATATCTTTGGCCACTCCTCTTGACAGAATTAGTGCAGTTCAGTTAAATTAGTAGAATTTCACACACACAGGACTTTGGGAAGGCCCATATACACCCTTAGTTCTAGCCTGATTTAGCCATTTCTTTATAACATTTGGGGTTATGTCTGGCTAGAACACCCAGCTAGGTCCAAATCAGGCCTGCAATGAATCACCTTTTTGGTGATTTTTGGCTGCCTCTTGACCATCCTGACCAGTTGTCTCTCAGCAGCAGGTGATCGCTTGCATTTCCTTCCTGATCGTGGCAGCGACACAACTGTACAATGCACTTTACAAGCAGTTGCTAGCACAAATGATTTTGGGATCTGAAGCACCTTGGAAATTGCTCCTAGCAACTTCTTTGACTTGTTAAAGTCAGAGATTTGCTCCTTAGATTGTAGTGTTTATGGCAGCAGTGTCAGATGTGGTAGTGAAGCTTATGAAGTCCTCTCCGTCATAGTCCATCAGTTCAGGTACTTAAAAGGAAACTTTCCATCATTATGATGTCCCATCTCACTGGTCTCTGAATCTGTTCACACTTGGTCCAGTCTGATACTGATTTGCACATGGTTCTCTGACTTTAGTACCTTTCAGTAAAAGATACTCAGACTTGCGGAGGTTTGACTTTGTTGTTGATTGATGCATTGCTATTTTTGACATGGACTTCCTGCTATCTGTGAGAAACATTTTAGTGTTCTCATGTTGACTTCCTTTATGATTCTTCTGACCTGCTTGTTGTCACGTGTGTTGAGAAAAGGCCTCAGTGTTGTTTTTTTTTACCCTTGTAGGTGTTTTTTCTTTATGAGTGACACTACCACTGTGACTGCTATGAACTAATTTTCAACACAGCTTGCTCACAGTTTTCTTTCTAAATGAATGCCTCATAAGAGACATACTAATGTTAGGTACTAGAGGGACACTTGCCAGGAGACCAGTAAATGTTTTGCTTGTCTGCCACAGTCTTCCACGTCAGCCTTTTAGCTGTTTGTTTCCTGCACCGTCCACATGCCTGATGGAATGGAAAAGACTTTTATTTTGCTAGTGTAGTAGTAGCTAGAAGGGAACCTAGGCCTGGGTCTGGAGAGAGTCACTGGACCAGCAGCTGTCCTCCTTCTGCAAAACCTAAACATGTTTTGATAAAGCCATAACAAAAATTAAACATTTTAAGTCACTGCAATTAAAGAGTTTCCTGTCTTTAGTTAAATATAAACATTCTCTTTAGACATAATCATTGTGTCCCTGCTGTGAATTATTTTATGAGATAAATAGAATTTTTAAGCAGTAGCAACACAGAATTATAGATTTCTTCTTTGGAGCCAGATGTCTGCCACCAGTATAATTGTACACTTTTATTTGATTACATGTGTTTAGGGATTAATGGCTTGGTTGGTGTTGTTATGCATGCATATTTAATTCATGCAAATGGTTTCAATCTTACAACAGTTTTTACCTTTTTTTTTGTTTGTTTGTTTGCCCTTTTATATAACTTACCTTTAAAATGCAGAGGGTAGTAAAAGACATATATACTGACTGGTTATTAAACTTTGGTGTGTTGTTTGTAGACACCCAGAGAGTCGCTGAAGATGGAGTTGTTAGCTGATGTGTCTCTACTGCCAGGAGAAGAAAGAATTATAGGTGAGTATAATCTACTGTAGTCGATGCACAGGAATAAATTCTCAATGCCAGTTAAACTCAGTTTCAGACAAAAACTTAGCCCAACAGTGGTATACCTGCAATCAGTTTACAAATGATTTGGTAGCTACTGTATGGGTGGACTGGGTTTGTTGTCTTAGTCTCTAACATTCAAAGTAGAAAGGTTTGCACGCTTCTCTTATTCTGCTTCCTTTTCTGTGCATATATGGTGATATTTTTTTGCCTCACAGCACTCACTGCTTACCAACAATAATAATGTGAACCAGAGTACAAATGTGAAAAAAAAGGAACCTGCTCTGGGTGTAAGATCAGACAAAAGGGAAGATTAGTAAGGAGTCAAATCAATCTGTTTGTGTCTATCTACTTTCAGATAAAGACATCATCTACATGTGTCACTTCAACGGAGCTGTGAAAGGCAAAGTGTTGATCACAAACTACAGACTCTACTTCAAGAGCTCAGATGCTGTAAGTCCGATTAAACTCATGTGGTGCCAGCCATTGGCTCTGGGCAGTGTGTGTCATGGAAACATTCTGCTGATCTACAAACCATTCGGTTCAATCTGACACCATCTCTGCTTGTGGTGTTTTTAAAATGGTGCACTACTGCTTTGATCTGTCAGTACAGACTGAATCTTTTTCTTGAAGGGCTCCTGAACAAGCACTGTGTATGCCACAAAATCATTTACAATATTTTAGTCACCACCATAGTATTTGCTTGTTTCTTTAATAACTGAATTTATTTTAAACACTTTAGGCTGAAACAATCTAACACAAGACTCATACATTATCCCCTTATGAAAATAGGTTGCATTGTTACCTTTATATAGTACTACTTGTATAGTATAGTGTGTATAACTGCACAAATAAGGAAGCTGCTAGCTATTATTGGCATTGCTTTGTCACACATGCTCTACAACAAGCTTGCCATTTTGAGCTACACATGCTGCATGTGGAACTCGACCTGACATGCATTTTTCAGCCACACATACACTTGTGTGAATTTCTACCAGGTAATTGAAGTGCAGGAGTTTCCTATTAGATTTTCCATGGAACCAAAAGGTGCCATTTACATTGGTGAGGGAGGGGAGCAGGCCCCATTTTTCCAAACCTACTTGGTACCAGAGTATATATATATTTTTAAATTTACACAGACACTCGGTTTTCTAGCAGTACATGGCGTCATTTGGAGCAACAGCTAATGTACACTGGTGTTCTAAAGAAAGTGCATCACCTCGGAATTTCCTATTTCTAAGTTTGACAGCAACTGTTCAGGGCATGCTTATATAGCCAAAAGTACCAAATGAAGCAATATTTCGTCATGTGTCACGTGTCAAATTTATGTGATGTAATCTAATGAAATATTGCTATATACTTTGATTATTTGAATAACAAATACAATTTAAAGGCAACTGTATTTAAACAAGTTGGTTGTTCACTGCTTAGTAATGAAAGTTAGGTTCCAAGTTGTAACATTCAAACTAAAAGCCAGGGCATCCAGAGTTTTGTCTTGAGACACTTAATATTGATTGGTCATAATGAATATATTCTTGGTAACTTTTTCATATTTTGAAAGACGGTTTCTAGGTTCAGGGGTATTTGTTGTCTCAGTGTAGGGTTTCCCAGCTTGTTACAAAGCATATCTCCGAAGTACATATTCACTGGAAGTCATTTTTCACTGGGGAGTGCATTATTTATTTTACTTGTTGGAGACTATTTTATTAGTGTACCTGTGTGATGGTTGTGTAATTCAAATTTTGTGTATTGCTGAGTCTCACTCTGTGTGTCGTAGGATGTAACGGTGATGCTGGACGTTCCACTGGGTGCCATCAGTCGAGTGGAGAAGATGGGTGGGGCATCAAGCAGAGGAGAAAATTCCTACGGCCTGGATATCACCTGCAAGGTATTTGTGCGCTTTATTGTCATTGTTATTATGGTCATTAATTTGTTTACAGGCACAGAATTTTAGTGATCTGATTATCATTTTTAATGCTCTCAAAATGATCTATATGTCTGTTTAGTTAGTTGTAAATAGCTGCTAAGACTTGTTTAGTTAAAACTGTTAAAAGGGGATTTCAGACACAATGTGACAACAACACTGCGGTGCGCTGAAAGCCATTATTTCTTGTGCCTTGCACCATGGCACAGTGGTTTGCTGCTATGCTGAGCAAAGCACAAAAGGTTTAGTTCCAAGTCAGTTGAACTTTGACCCGCTGTGACGAATCCCTTCATGACCAATGGAAATATGGCTTCCAGCCAGAAATGCCAGGTAAAATGGGGGGAAAGTTGATGCGTGCGTGCGTGCGTGCGTGCGTGCGTGTGTGTGTGAGAATTATACAACACAAATTTCCATTTGTATCGAGACCGAAGTAGGAAAGCTCTGTCTTGGAAACAGATCTCTAGATCTCCTGGCATGTCAGGTGTGTTTAACAGTTAAACAGTGTAGCCTGTATGTTGGTGGTATGTTTCACCTATATAGGTTAAACTGATTTTTTTTTAAACTGCAGTAAAAAAGTTGTATAGTTTTCAAATAGAATATTTTATTGACACTGAATATAGAAGTTTTGTGAACTCTAATTTGCTGTTGCTTCTGCTACTCCCCTAGACATTCACCGAATTATGTGGCAGCTACAGAACATGTCACTTAGTGTCTGAAAGTTTTATAACCTATAATGATAATGTGTTTAGTGTTATGAGTTACATAATGCATTGATGTCAACTGAGGTCCATTTACTCCCATTGTATTTGTATCTCAGACATTGTATACTTTCATGCCTAACAAGTCCATGGTTTAAAGCCAAACATTGAGTTGAAGTTTAGTTGAGTTTTAATATGGCTAGAAATTCATTCAAAAATTTTGCCAGTCATAAGCCAAGTTCACTGAAAAAAAACGTATTTTTATAAGAAAATGCTTCTCAAGTTTAGGATACTATTTTGCATGCTTTATCTGTTGTTTATGGGGTTTTTTTTTGTGTGTTGACTGTAAATTTGTTGATCTACTTCGTCCCCAGGACATGAGGAACTTGAAGTTTGCCTTAAAGCAGGAAGGCCACAGCAGAAGAGACATATTTGACCTCCTCTTCAGACATGCCTTCCCACTCTCACATGGTCTGGTAAGTCAGCTTGTAACACCTGCTGCCATCTACTGGCTGTTTTTTTGCATGTGGTAAAAGGAGACATATTTTTTTTTCTCAGGGCCAGCAAGGAGAATTCATATGATACAGATGTAGCCTTCTTTAGTCATTTTTGTCCACACACATCTTTACAAACCACAAGCAAACTCCCACTGATTTTAGAGCACAGTGAACATTTTGTATACAGGGAGCACGTTTTAAATTGAATGCTTCACCTTCTTTTATTGTCAAAATAGTCCAGATTTAAACACTGACAGTATTTATAACAGCAAAAAACATTTCAGTCTACACAGTGCTGGCTGAGAAAAGACATTTTTCTGCCTGTAGTCATCCTCCATTTGCTTCAAATTCAAGCACTCATGCAAATGCTGAAATGTGGAGATGCAGCCCCCTCATATGCCATGACACACCGCTACCCACCCACATCACAGCTACATCTGCTTGGCTAATATTTGTGCATGATCAAAATTTGTGTCAATGCTTACACAGGTCGCATTTCTGCCTGTGGTAAGAGCCAGTAGGCACAATGAAAACCCCCTGCTTTTATTCTCCTAACTCCTTGGAAGCTGTATTGAAGCAACCAAGCAAACGGTAATATAATATTGATACAGGTTTATTTAAAATAAATAAATAAAAAAGAGTTTAAAGCATGTTTGTCTGACTTGGAGCTGACAAGTGATAGGTGTTGAATGCTCTGGAAGTCCTGTTGATTTTCTGTACAGACAATGTGTTGACTGACAGAGCACAATGGACATGACACTGATTGTATCGATACAAAAGACGGCAAATTGTATTTAAAAAGTGTGTGATTAGGGGCGCCGCTGTTGTTCACCTGGTTGAGCTGGCGTCCCATGTACAGGGCTACAGTCCCGATGTGGAGGTCATGATTTCGAATCCCGCTCATTGCCCTTTCCCACACGTCCTCCCCCATTCTTCTCCCTCACTTTCCTGTCTCTCTCTTACTGCACTATGAAATAAAGGCACAAAGGCCAAAAAAATAACTTTAAGAAAAAAGTGTGTGATAAAAAAGTGAAAGCCTGTGAACAAAACAATAAGGAGACCAGTACTGTTGCTGTAATATGATTGTAGTCTATAAATTAAAAGTCTCTGTCTCTTGCTCCCATACAGCCTCTATTTGCATACGTGACACAGGAAAAGTACGCTGAGAATGGCTGGAACATCTACAAACCTGTAGAGGAGTTCAGACGGCAGGTAAGAAGGACGACAATTGCAGCATTAGGACTGATGTTACATTACTACAATTAATCTGTGATACCAATACCTATATAATGTAGGCATGTTGTGTAAACAGAACTAGAAATAAGGCAGAGTTGGGAGATTACATTAAAATCAAACGGGTAAGAAATGTACTGGGCAACCAAAGCATTGATACTTTATAGACATTTAGTAGAACTGAGTTAAGGTTCAAAGTAAAATTTACTTGTGTTGTAGTCACTAACTAATGACAGTCACTTTGTCTTCCAGGGCTTGCCTAATAACAAGTGGCGTATTACATTCATCAATAAGAGCTATGATCTGTGTGACACCTACCCCACTGTGCTGGCTGTACCCTTTAAAAGTAAAGAGGAGGACCTCAGAAGAGTGGCTGCCTTCCGGTCAAAAGGACGCATACCGGTGAGGGCAAGATTGAGCTACATAAAATAAAACTATGTTGCGCGTAGTCACGAGTGTAAAATGTTAAATTTGACTCAATAAATCTTAACCTGAGATCCATTTACTCACAACCTTTATGAACTTCTATGTCAGGGAACAATAGGATTTCAATACACAGACAGTACTTGTAGGAAGATCAACTTATGGTTGTTTTTTTGTCTCTTCATGGGAATTGTTAAAAATTTAAAACAAAACAGTAATCATTTAATCATTTTTTAGTTGTTTTGCCAAATTGTCCTATAACTACAGTCCTATCATCTAGTAAGTGACAATCAGCTGTAAATTTAAAAAATGTGTCTTGCAATGCTTACCCTGTTGTACTCTGACGGACTTTCTTGCCTTTAGCATATTAAAGTTAGTCCTTCCTTTGAGGCCAAATCATACTGTCTATGTGCACATCCACAATGGTATGTGTAGTGTAAATTTCATCATCCACCCAAATCTGCAAGGGTCCACAAGAACCGCTATGTGGACGTCTGTGTGCAGTTCTAAAATTTGTGACTGCACAGACTGCAGTGCTTAACAAGAATGCTTAGTTTGAGGAGAGACTGTGCAAGGTCATCACCACCACCCACACAATTATACTTCATTATCAAGTTGTAATTGAAGTAGTCGCCAAACTTTTGTTGTGCTTTGATTTGCACGTGCATCAACGGAACCCAAACACAGTGGGAAGTTGCAAACCTACAGGCACATGGAAACACTTGTCTTTGTTCCTTAGGTTCTGTCGTGGATCCACAGGGAGAACCAAGCAGTAATTGTCCGCTGCAGTCAGCCTCTTGTTGGCATGTCTGGGAAAAGAAACAGGGACGACGAACGCTACCTGGACCTGATCAGGGAGGCAAATGACACCACCAAGCTCACTATCTATGATGCTCGGCCCAGCGTAAATGCAGTGGCCAACAAGGTGAGGAGTGACAGGCACATGAGGGTGGAGCAGGTTGCAAAACATCTGTCTTAAATAGGAAAATAGTGACAACAATGAACTGTGTAATGCCATTGTGAATTGTTATCTTTTGAGGAACCTCATATTCGGTAATGCTTATGGCCGTATAGTTTCCCTTTTAAGATTTTTGAAAAAAATACTGGGAAATGGCCACCATCGTTAACCAGAGCCCAAAGTGACATCTGTAGATGTTTGATGTTTTGTTGTGCGTGGCCAGCAATCTAAAACCTTGAGATATCCAGGTTAGAATGATAGAAAACAGAAAAGGAGAAAATCCTGACATCTCACAAGCTGTTTTTTTTTTCCATTTCTTTGACAATAAAAGCACACAACTAAGAAGATTGATGCAATCAGATGGTATTTTTATATTTTTATATTTATATTTTTTATATCAATATATGTTATATTGATTTTTAAAAAAAAGTGAGCTTTTACAAGATTGAATTTCCCTTCTGGGATAAATAAAGTGTTTTTCATTTCATTTACATGAATGAAATTACATTTTTGTTGCAGACAAAATATACACAAATCTTCTGATATCCAGCCAAAACATTACAAGATGAAGACAGAATCAGAGTGAAACCTTGTCTTCAGTGTCATTGTTCCAATACCTTTTAAGTATCTTGAGGTGTGCTTTTATCTGCTTTTTTATATACATTATTGAAAACTGAAATTTCAAGAAAAACTGCGTGTGACAAAGGAGATGAAAAATAGCACCACGTGAAAACATGACAGCCGTGTAGAGTGATGAGGAGACTGTAACAACTTTGAATTAATACATGAAACTAACACAAATACCATATTTACTTTCCGTTTTCCACATGATTTTCCATCCTTTAAACTTTGACTCCAGCTTTTAAATGATATCAGTTTAGGGCAGCAACTGTTTTCATTGACAATAATCAATTAATTGCTTGGTCTGTCAGGTATCAGAAATTAGTGGAATGTGTCCATCAGTACTTCTCAAAACCCAAGATGAGGTATTCAAATGTATTGTTTTGTTATCAGCCCAAAGGTATTCAGCTTACTGTCATGGAAGAGTACAGAGTCCAAAAAAACATCCAAATTTATCTCAATTAACAAATACTTGTCAGTTGATTTAGTTGTTGGCAAATAATGATCAGTAATCAATTGTTTAATAGTTGTAGCTCTGCATTAGTTACATCGTTGCACCCTGAGCCAACTACTTGTGAAAAGACTTAACTGAAAACTCACTAATTAAGTCAAGGTGTCAGATAGGGTTGACCTCGACCCCTGTGCTTCTGTTGGTAACAGAGATATCTGCTATGAAATCAGAAATACTAAAAAGACTAAACGCTGCCAGTATTGATAGATTGATTATGGAAATAATATGGACTAATTCCACCAACTGCTAAAGTGTTTGAGAGAACGTTTGCTTATGTCGTGCATGCCGGTAATTTTGCTTTCCTCCAGTTAACAGGCCATCAGTGTCCAGTGAACACTATATATAACAATATTTCAACACCCACAGCTTCAGTAAATTTGTTGTGAATGTTTAGGGTGCTTTAGACAGTGAGGCCAAGTGTTTCTGGTTGCTCAAATTTCCTCTAATGCCTGCACATGGATAACTGAGTGCTGAATGTCTTTGCAATCCGCAGGCCACTGGAGGAGGCTACGAGGGTGATGAATACCAAAACGCAGAGCTCATCTTCCTGGACATCCAGAATATCCACGTCATGAGGGAATCCCTGAAGAAACTTAAAGATATTGTCTACCCCAATGTCGAGGAATCCCACTGGCTGTCCAGTCTAGAGTCCACACACTGGCTAGAACATGTAAAGGTAAGAAAAAAACATGTCTGTTTGCAATTAAAAATCTGAAATTGCCATGCCTTTGTTTATCATTTTTATTTAATGTATTGTTCCTTTGTCTCAATCCTATTCTTGTGTAAGTAGCTTGTGTTGTCAGGAGCCATCCAAGTAGCAGACAAGGTTTCCAGTGGAAACTCTGTGGTGGTCCACTGTAGTGACGGCTGGGACCGAACTGCTCAGCTTACATCTCTAGCCATGCTGATGTTGGACAGCCACTACCGCACTCTGAGAGGATTCCAGGTCAGTATGAGCAAAAAAAGGTTGTCAAATTGTTTTTCTTTCTTTTCGCACCGTACCATCCAATACTTGTACTGTACCTATGAGTGATAGAATGTCACTTTTATTAACACTCTGGCTTTAACAACAAATGTTTAGGGAAATAAATGGACAGAAATGAGATTCAAATATTTTTCGTGTGTTTTTAGGGGCTGATTGAAAAGGAATGGATCAGCTTTGGACACAAATTTGCCTCGGTGAGTAACAGCTGCTGTATTCAGGATGATCTACTGTAACTGTGTGTTCTGAATCCATGCTCAATATTGTCAGATACTTTGAAGGAATATTCAAAATGCTGAGTCAGAAATTTGTACAAGTAATGGCTCAGATAACTGAAAAAGAAAAAGTTTACCTTTCTGTTACCTTTCTGCTAATTGTGTGTGTATGTGTGTGTGTTTGTGTGTGTAGAGGATAGGTCACGGTGACAAAAACCATGCAGATCAGGACAGATCACCCATCTTTGTTCAGTTCATCGACTGTGTATGGCAAATGACTAAACAGGTATGTTTAACACATCTGAATTATCCCGCAGCACTCAAGTGTTAATGTAACTGCAGAGTTAATTAAAGGACTGACTGAGATCACACTGGGTTTTTAATAGCTGGCAGTGCATATTTGTCAAGTTTGTGTCACCAACAAGCCACCACAGCCCTATTTTTCTTATGTATGCACGTCAATCAGACTTTCTTCTGTTATTTTGATTCATGTTAGTGCAGTGGTGCTAAGTTCAAAAGAGTTGGGTTAAGGTTGAAGTGCTTTATAGATCAGTGGTTGTGTTAATGATTAATTCACTCTCAGCCAGCACTGCTCATCACTGACATCCCGAATATCACTGGTCTCATAGCTCTGAATAAATTCAGCACAGCGACATGAGCTTCACGAATGTAGATAGAAATCATTTTGTTTTCTGGTGCATAGCGTCCAGGTGTGGAGACGCAGCATGGCAAATCCGCTGCCAAGCGCAGATGGTGCAAGTTTGTAATTTAATTGGAAACAAATAATTTAAAAATGATTTGTTGAAGCTGTTTATATGGTCACAGCAACGTGTCTAAATTTTATTATTTCTCATGTTGTGACAAACTTTAGGTGATGCAACAGTATTTTGCACCACAATATATTTCAAAAAATAATGCATAAAACACCACTTTTTATGAACAGTTGTAATGGAAGCAACAACACACAGGATCAGTGTCCTCTTGTTATCCTAGCGAGACATAGTTTTCAGATACAAATAACTCCTATCGTAAGAGGGATGAAAATTTTAGGTGAGAAGATGGAAAATTCTTGACAAATCCCTTAGGGTCTGGTACTGTTTGTATGACTTTTTAAAAAATTGAATTATGTAGAACTGAAATGATTGGTCAACAGAAAAAACATCTGCACTGTTTCTGATAACTAATCCACTGTTTTAGTAAGTTTTCAAATTAACAGAAATTTTTATTAGATTAGACAAGACATTTGAAAATGTCACCCTTCACAAAGTTGTGATTAACTTATAATGAAAATTATTACTGGTTGTATCCCTTATATAACCACGCAATCATTTTTACCTATATATATATTATTTTTTAAAAAATGTGACACAGACTATAGAAACAAAAGGTTCCCTTAGAAAAAGAATCGAGCTGAAAATAGAAGAATGAATTTAGGTAAGTTTCTGAAATACATTTTGACATTATTAGGAGTTTTGTGATTTAAACCATAATTAAGTGTACAAATTGTCCTTGTGTCATGACTTCAGTGTATATTTATATGAAAATAACTATAGATAATATTGAAGTGGACTACATATATCTACTAAAGGTTTTTTATGTGTACCAAATGCTGCTGTCGAAACATTGTGAAGCCGACACATAGCATTAGGTTAAATTAGATTCAGCTTTATTGTCATTGCACAGAGTACAAGTAGTAACAGAATGAAATGCTGTATAACATGAGACCAATGTCCATGAATCTATTACCCTAGTGCATGCTGGGAGGTTACCCAAAGCACCCACCCAATCAGCTCGTTCAAGGTGAGCTGCGTCTCGCCTGGGAAATGGACGAGGCAGGCAGGAGCAGCAGCAGGGTTTGGAGTTAATAGTTGACAGTCAAGACAGACAGCAGTCTTCAGTCTGTACAGGAACTTACAGAAATAAACTAATTTCTTAAAATGTTCTCTGACAAATATATGTTGTTTGTATAAAGTCTTCAATGGTTTTAATTACTATAGGACAGCCTTTAAAAATGCTATACAGGTGATCTGTGTTCATCACTAATTGACTTTACATGAATTCTCCTGTAAATCAACGTCAGATCAGCGTGGCACTGTACAATAATCAAGAAACCAAACCTGCCCCTCTCAAACTATGTAAATACAAAGAAAAAACATGTATAAGGGCAAATACAGTAATGTACTATGATAGTATACAAGACAACAGCTTTCATAACTAATCTGTCAGGTATTCAGATTGTCAGGGCTAAAACTGGTGAACAGTTTTTGTTTTCACAGTTTTTAAGTTCTTTAACAGAAATACTGGTTTTGCTAAATAAAAGTTTAAGTCAGCCCAGTGTTGATGTACTAAAACTACACTATTGTCTGTAGTTTATGATGTGCGATTTGAATGTGTTCAGCGGACTGATAAACATCTACCATACTTGAAGAATAAACTCATCAATATATATATAAAATTAATACCATGAAATTTGACAGGACTGGCATCACGTTTGACTTGTAACTGGTTATCTCTGCTCTCCTCTCAGTTTCCTACAGCCTTTGAGTTTAATGAGCACCTCCTGCTGACAATCCTGGATCATCTCTACAGCTGCCGCTTTGGGACTTTCCTCTACAACTGTGAGAGTGCACGAGACCAACATGTAAGATGACATGGACAGAAAACATTGCCTGCCCTTAGTTGCCCTACTGCATGCATGCTAGCATTGTTTTGACTTTTAGCTTGCCTTGTACGTACTTCAGTTGCAAATGTGACACTTTGTGCGTTGCAGGAGGTGAGGTCGAAGACTGTGTCTCTGTGGTCCCTGGTCAACAGTAAGATGGATATTTATTTAAACCCCTTCTACACCCCGGAGTCTGGCAGGGTCCTCTACCCTGTTGCCAGCATGCGCCACCTGGAGCTTTGGGTGACCTACTACATCCGCTGGAACCCACGTATACGACAACAGGTAAAACCTTTTCTCAACTCGCTTTACTGTTCTCTCTTTCTCTCCTCTTTCTCTCTCTCTCCCTCTGAACACATACATTCATATACATATATTAGGTTATATCCATCCATCCATTATCTATACACTGCTTAGGGTTGCAGCTGACTTAGGGTGAAGGCAGGAGACACCCTGGACAGGTTGCCACCTTGCAGCCCTAATAAGTTATATGAGCAATATGTAAGCATATAGGCAAGTTCTTCCTGCCTTCCATAGAGACATAAATCCAATGGGGCTTAACTGTCCTGGTTAGACAATGAACTCACCAAACATGCATTCAAAGCAAATAGTAAAACAAAAAAACTAATGAAATCCAAGGCACACGGATTAGTCTGCTGATATTTTGTTGTAACGCCAACGCGTTTTCGACTCGTGGCTGAATCTTCTTCAGGGGTCATGAGTCGATGCCATCATGATGGATCACGTACTGTGACAATAAACCATGCTGCATACAAAGTAAATAACTCAAAAATAGTTTGTTGTCAGTGTGGTTAATACCCACTAGCACAAAAGTTCAAGGAGAAATAATGGATCAGTGGATTAAGATCAGGAAAACAAGTAGCATTGAGTGCATGTATCCAATAGGTCTCACGATTCAGCAGGAGCCTTAGTATGTCAAACCCCTCTTGTGTTTGATGGTATGACTTCAATGACCATGACTTTTACTTGGGTTGCTGTGTCCCGCCTGTTTGTAATGCTTAGCCATGGGATAGTTGATGTTTTGCATGCAAATCGTTTACTTGTGTTCAGCTATGCGTTCTTTAAATTTTCGCTTTGTTCTGGCCGCAAAGAATGAAACATTTGAGCTGTCTTCCTCTTCTGCGTGACATTTTGTTACTTAGTGATGTGTGTGTCTGTGTGTGTATGTGTTCCAGCAGCAGAGTCCAGTGGAGCAGCGCTACAAGGAGCTGTTGGCCCTAAGAGACGAATACTTGAAGAAGCTGGAGCAGTTGCAGCTTTCAGATTCCTCCACTTCCTCCCGTCTGGCTAACAGCCCCACGCCCAACACCTCCTCCAACACCTCACCATCACAGCAATACACACACCTACACACTCCCTTTTGAGGGCTGGTAACACACACTCACACACAGATATCAGATATACTTGTTGACTTGCACTTATGTCCTCTTCGCTCCAATTTGTGTTTCACACACACACACGCAGGGAATTAATTAGTATTGTGCAGTCCTAAGTGTGGATAACAAAGAATGCTAATAAGATTTAGATTTGATGGCTAACTTTAATACCATAGTGGTGATAATGGTGATTTATGCAATATGTCACAGTACAGCCTTGTCTCAAGACTTTTCTATACACACACTCATCATACAAAGCCTTAAAGACATTCACTGGCTTTAAGTCCAAGGGCTTGAACACACAAGACACTGCGGTTGTGTTCACACAAGGAGCAGAGCAAAGTGTTTTTGTCTGAATGTCATACTGTGATTACAAATTAATGAAAATAGTTGAGCATTAAAGTTCTTTCTTGACCTTAGAAACCATAGTCTGACAAGAAAAGTTTAACTCAAGCTTTCTTAATGACTTTTCAGGAGCTTGTAATTGGAGAGTTATACAAATGAACACCATGAGATGCTGCTGAGATTAGGTTTTCAAATTATAGAAGAATTATAAAGGTAAAAGCAGGAAAGACACAGGCTTACCCCGCCATGAGTCGTAAAGAAAAACTGACAGCAAACACAAAACATTTTCTTGATTTTGATGTAATGTATAGTTGACTTTGAAAATGTCTCAAAATATCCAAAATGCTTGTAAAAAGAAGGACATTTCACAGTGAGATGTCAGAAAACTGCACGCACTTAGCCCAGCTCCACCCTGTGCTTCGCCACACCGTCGGTGTCCTGTGTGAACAAAGCATAATGCTCACCAAGATGTTGTTTAACTCTCACTTTTCACACTTGTCCCTCCTTGCTGCACTGCTGCTAAGTGTCGCCCAGTCCTACAGGGAATTGATCGAAACGGCTGCAGAGCTAATGCAGCAGCGTTGGAGGCTTGGAGTTCCTGCAGTAGATGTCACTGTAGTTTCAAAATAAGTGTTATATATATCAGATGCGATCAGATTTGGATGGATTAGTGTGGAATTGTTCTCCATTGTCACCTGAGGATGAAAGCTGAAGCTGTCTCTCAAATACATTTGCCACTGCTATCAGTAAAGCTCACATCCTAGGTTATGGGATTGACAACAAATGTAGTTCGAGCCAACAGTAGACTTTGGTTGGAATTGATCAGCAATTTACTTGTATGAATGCAGCTTTGAGTTTCAAATATATTTCAGGTGCTGAAGATAGTAGAAGGAAATGAAATGATGCTGACTTTCTGAATTCTGAATCACCTCGTGTACTTTAAAGTTCTCACTAAACAAAGACCTTGGATGGAGAAACCAGCCCAGGCCCATGAAATCCAATTTCTAGATGTTTTTTATTCACCCTCACTGAAAGTTCACATTGGATCTCAAAGTACATGTGCCTTTTGGACAATTGGCGGATAGTGTTTGTATGTGGGACTTTTTTTTATTTTATTTTTTTAAAGTTTTCATTTGGAATTCTATAAAAGATTAAGAATAAGTAAAATGCTTCTACATTAATGAAGAATTATTGGGCAACGTACATAGGACTCAAGTCAGTGTACTTTTTTATGTGAGCATAAATCAATCATAGAATGATGAGATAGTACGTGATATTTTTGAATTCTTTCCTTCATTTCAAAAGTATGCTCTAGTATGTCTTTGTAGATTCTCAGTCATCCAGATCTTGGTATTTGTAGGAGCTTTTGTAAAAAGATCTAGTATGACCTACCTTTGGATTTTTATGTCCTAAATAATATCTAATAATTTAAACCTACAATAAGCTTGCTTTTTATTTGGATCACATATTATCTCTTTTTTTTTTCCTGACTCAAACGGGCTTCCTTAAAATTTGCCTATACAAATTCATGAAAACCCAATTTGTTCAAAATGCACATGCTTTAAGAGTTTAAGTGCTTTAATAAAGCTGGTGTCAACAGAGCAGTGTGCAAAGTCAAACTCAGGACATCACAGACGACAGTGTGTGTATTGATAAAAGAGGAATGCTAGGAACATTATCATTTATTACAATCGTGACAATTAAATTAGGCTACTTCTTCCAAAAAGCTACCCGACACAAGGATTTTGCTGCTATCTCAAACAGCTCTTATCTGGGTTGGTTTTAACACTTGATACAGAAAAATAATCGTGAAATGTGTATAACAAACATTTTTACTATATCACTCAATCCGTCAAGATGATGACTGGATTGTTTATTACAATCACTCCTGAGTTTGAAGTACTCTGTCACCATATTTGTTCAGTTTATGGCACTTGATTTCAACCTTGGTTACTTAAGTAATTGGGGCTTCATTTGTGGAGTATGAAAATGTTTAAAGTGTGATTTTTTTTTATTTTATTTTTTTGCCACCACAGTATAATCAGTCAGAGATAAGTTTAATAACATGTTGAATTCTGGTTGGTGTGTTATTTTGGCATTGTCAGCTGGGGTTTCATAATACCAATAGATAACTATTAAAAGCAGCTCCAGAATTGGTGCTGGCAAATGCTGCACTGTGGGAGGGGAAACTGTTGAAAATGTTTTGTTGAGACTGATGCAGGTTAGAAACAAGTCTGCACGGAGCACCACTGTTGATAAAGTCCTAGCGCTAAATCTGTAACCTTTTATAAATCATCTCCTTCACACGTGGATGTTACAGTAACACACAAGTTTTAATAACAGTGGTGGTGTTCCAATTAGCTGGGGTTTTTTGTTCATTCAGTCTTGACTCCTAAAAAAACTGGACACGCTGTCTTTGACTTGTTAATAGTAGCCAGTAGAGTTGCAAAGTGTGAGCAGTTTTCAGAAGGATTTTCCCCACAAGAGTTAGCAGCTGTAATAAATATTAAGTTACAGTAATTCAACAGTGTTTCCTGCTGTTAGCTTGGATACATGAAAAATGTAACCTACCAGACATTTCTGTGGTCTCTCATTTGCCCTTATTTAAATATGTCAATAACAGAATTTAAGCTTGGTGATTACAGTTTTCTCTCCTGTGGTTAACTCGTCTTCTATAATGTCCCCATGAGACAGAATGGGACTTCTGAAACCCGAAATACCCAAAACATGTCCCCCCTGCTGTGTTTCCTTACAGCAGTCTTGAATTCCCAGAAATGCAGCCTTCCTGTTTGAAAGCCTGCTCAGACAATACATTTTCCTTCTCACAGTGTGTTCAACTTAATGGGTTTTCAGCAAGTTGAAAAAAAAAATGTGTGTACAGTGTAAGACTTTCAGTTGTGAATGAGGTATAATAAGTCATTTTGTGAAGCGCTTCAGGTTATGTCCAGATTTGTGCCTTGACTCTTGTGAGAATCACCTTCAACCTCTACAGAGAGACGCACTCGAGCTGTCTTGGGCCATGTTTGAGATTGACTGCTTTGATTTAGGAGGACGCAGAGCTGCCGTTTGCGGGTCTGTGCCAGTTTAAAGTGGGAGGAAGAGGGTGGTTGCTGCAGGGATTCCTCAGGTAACTACAGAGGGTAGAAGACAGGACCGTTTATGAAGGTAGATTCCCTTTGTGAAAGGAAGCCTCTGTTTATCTCCTTAAATTCAACACTGTATGATGCAGTACGTGCTTGAACAGAGCAATTTAAAAAAAAAGAAAGAAAGAAAACACACCCACATTTTAGTAGGTCTGTGGCATGTTTTGCCTTAACTGGTGCAAAGTAAGAGTCACTCGTGTAGTCGGTTTTAGACCAATTTTCAGCTGTGCAAACCTTGCAGCCCATCTGTAGGGGCAGAGAGTCATGCTATATTTGTGCTTTATCTGACTTACTACTGGGTCTTGGCACATCCGTCTAAAACACAGCATCTCCTCTCCTCTGTTTTGCAGAGGTTTGGTTTTGTCCTCCCCTTTACCCATTTTGTTACCTGGTCAGTCATATCTACTCGTTGAATAAACGAACAAGTTGCACAATCAGAGAGATCTTATTTATAAATTACTGTTGAAAATAACCAAACCCAATTTTGAAGGTATGGGGTTCTGATTGGGCGGCAGCTCTACCAATACCACCTGGTAATTAAAATATTTTTTTAAGGTGGGACAGCATTTATGTGAACTGCTTTTTGAGCATAGTTTGGCCCTTTGTCTTTCTATAGTTTCCAAACAAATGTACATTTACAGACTGACCATCAAGGCTTTGTGTCCACCATCACCAGAAGTATCTATTCAAAATAAGGGACGTAGAATAGTTAGCTGCATGTCATATCTCAAACATGACCCTTTCTATGTCTGGGAGGATCAGAGAGGGTAGATCGGAGAGTGCAAGCTGATTCCTGTGTTCACAGAGAGGTGAATAAAAGATTCTACCAAATAGATACTTTAAACTAATGTTTGGCGTCCTTGATAAAAGGTTTGGAATTGGCTGAGAAGGTTAAACAGCAAATGGAAAAGAAGTGACAGCAACATGAAACGTGTTGGTTCGGGGGTTGTGTTTTTAGGGAAAAACAGATAAAAGTCTATTTTTTTTATTTTTTACTTTGTACAAGCACCATGATGTAATTACCTCAATCAAAACCTATTTTACTGTCGAAAGTTCTATTGTTGTAAGATACAATTATTTTATGTAGTGTAAAATCTTCCAGTTTTATAATAAAGGAAAGTAATGTTGGTTCAGAAATTGTTGGTATAAATTGTGGATTTCTGCTCCATTTGGTCAAATTGTTCTGTTTTATATTTAAGGGCATTTTTAGGGGTTGTACTCGTTCACCCAGGAGCAAAAGACAGAAGTTTCTGGATACTGTTGAACCTTTAACATCTTCCTGTCTGTTCTCTATGGATCTTTAGCTTTCAGATTCACTCTGGCTCTGTGGTGATGACTCTGAGAAGTACTTGTTCATTTCAATTTTACTCTTTCATTAATGTAGGGATTGTAGTTTGAGGGTATTGTGTCATATTATAGCCTGCTTTGTCATAAATACACATGAAATGTGTTTGAGGATCTTCTTGGTATCAACAAAAAGGTGAAATCTGAATACATTTCAAATGTACTTCTTTTAATCATGTTATCTCCTCTCCACAGTTTGTTGGATGGTTCTTTTTATGTAAATATTACTGATTAAATTAATTTAAGAATTTCTGATGGACTCCCTGCATGTGTTGTTTATTCAGTTATTTGTTGTTTGTTTTTTTTTTTGTTGTTGTGCATTTTCTCTCTGGGGGCTGCAAGGCGGCTTGGTGATTAGCACCGTTGCCTTGCAGCAAGGAGGTCACTGGTTCGCATCCCGGTGAGGACACCCGGGATCTTTCTGCGTAGAGTTTGCATGTTCTGCCTGTGCAGCATGGGTTCTCTCCGGGTTCTCCGGCTTCCTCCCATGTTGACATGACATGTTGAGGTTAATTGGTGATTCTAAATTGTCCGTAAGTGTGAATGTGAGTGTGCTTGGTTGTCTGTCTCTAGGTGTAGCCCTGCAATAGACCAGTGACCTGTCCAGGGTGTCCCCTGCCTTTGCCCTAAGTCAGCTGGGATAGGCTCCAGCCCCCCGCAACCCTAGTGAGGTGGTGTATAGATAATGGATGGAATGATGAATTTTCTCTCTGCATTAACACTTTTATTGACTAAACTGAAAAGCCACATTAAGGTTAGAAATTTAAATACAGCTACCAAAATGCCTTTCAGTAAACTGAAGTTTTGACTGCCTTCATACTGAATATTTGCCTGAGGTACCAGGATCAGGATGAAATCAGAGCATAACTTTAAGTGAACAATTACTACATTCATCTGCTTCATCTAGGCCTAATATTTACTTTTTATCCTGCAACTTTTTTGCTTGCAGTGCAGCCTGTAGTCATCCTCAAATGTATTCATGCCCTCCCATTAAAGAAGGTTAAAAAAAAAACAGCTGTCACTGAAATAAGCTGAAATTGACAGAAATAATAAATAAAAATTTAATGAAAATCATGACATTGCTTTTGAATTGTGGTTCAACAGAAATAGTATTTTAAAAAAATCAAGCATGATGCAACCTGTGAACTAATATTTTGTTGAGCAACCCTTTGAGCCAATCACTGCAATCAAGTGTTTCCTGTAACTGTCAATCAGACTTCTGCACCTGTTGACAGGTCTTTTGGCCCACTGCTCAACTGCTCATCATCAAAGAGCTCTAATTTGTCTGGGACAGTTTTGTTTTGTTTTTAATTATTCTTTTCAGCCACAATTCAAAAGCAATGTCTTATTTCACTGAATTCTAAATTAGCAAATTTGTTATTTATTATTACTGTTTTCAGTTTCTAGTTATTTAAGTGACTTTTGTGAATTTTGCCTTTTCCTTAATGGAAGGGTATGAATACATTTGAGTATGACTGTAAGTATGGACATACGTTTTGGCTCTTCAGTCTAAGAACTTCAGCATCTTCAGTTTGAAACAAAACACTACACAAAAGTGCCAAGCCAAAAATCAATCCTGCTGCCTTTAGATTGCTGCAGGGATTTAATAACCTGAAGGCTGAAGTAGCTGTGGAAAGCCGATGTTGAAAGAATGAATCCTTTTATTGATCCTCGTGCAACCATAAGAACATTTTTATCTGTTTGATTTCTCGGATAATTTTGGCTGTGTAAATGTATATGGCAGAACATTTTGTAAACCTCCCCTTTTACAACTTCAGCTCCCACAATATGTCAAAACACTACACTAACCAAAACCCATTCAAAGTGCTATTTTAAGACAGCCTCTGCCATTACAGCACTAACTTGTGCTTTCAATGTTATTAGGCTTCCATTGGGGAGTCTTGGCTTCACAATTGTCCTTTTTTTCCCATATTTGCCCTGTGAAGCAAAAACATGCTTTATTTGTTTTTTCACTTTTCTCTGCATGCCACAATAGAATTAATGCATGCAACTAAAATAGTTTTAGGGTGTTGATAGAAATGTGAGAGTGTGGTGTGTATGTGTGTGTTAAGAATTTTGTGTGTGTCTGCATATGTGTACATTTAGAGATATAGAAACCCATCTGCTCGCATAATCAAGCCTACAGACTCAACAGTATATAACATATCACACCTCTAAGGTGCAGTACATTTCTGGATGTAAGCTATAGAAGGCTTTTGAGCTTTGAAGATTTGTGTGTGTGGTGGGGATGTTTGATCTTTGTGTCTACATGCTGGTGTTTTTGGCCACTTGACCATATGAGCTGACAGCTTTGTTTTTCATTCCTTCTTCTTTGCACAAAGATAAAATCTGAGCTTGACTTTGATTTTTTATTTTTTTATTTTTTTTTTAAGTTTGAAGGGCTTTCAACAATTCCTCCTTATCAGAGTCATGCATACACTCCTTCATGTAATAGAACTATAGAACATCCTCCTGCACCTCAAAGATGCCACTGCGGTGAAAACCAAAAAAGTGTGGGTTTATCTGGTTTAGTAGATTTTATACCATGAACAGGTTTACACAATCAAAACTATACAGTTGTGTATCTTTGTAGCTTGGGAAGCAGCATGTAAATTCTGGCAGGTTAGGAATCAACAACAGTAAGTAACTAACAGGAACATTAGCTGCCCTGGTTGGGTTCAAGGAAATGTTATTTTCTTTGTGTTTTTTTTTTTTCTTTTGGCAGTTTTTGTTTGAGTTTTGTCCTGACACACTGGAAGGTAAAAATAGATATATAACTTTAACTTATAGTAGTTATGTATTACCATGTATTTATTTATGATTATGTTGAAATAGTCCTTGTGTTATAGTTGCTGACAAGACATTCAAATTTTGCCGAAAGGGACACCCTGTTTTTAATTTGTTCTGACAAATCTTACAACATTATGTAACTAAAATATTTCTGGGTGTTTTTGGATACTGGATTTGGGTGTTAAAATAGGTGGGATTTTTTCTCTCTATCTTTTCTTTCCTCTCTCAGTCCTCATCTCTTGTTTGTCATAGCTGTTAATCCATTTGGTTCTTTGCTTTTGTTTTAGTTTTGCTCATTTTCACCATCTACATGTCTGTTTTTGATAAATGAGATTTATATTTGGAACACCACTTTTCTCTATGTGTCCTCTTTCCAGGTCTTCCCAGGAGCCATTCAGCTCTTGTGACGTCTGGAAGTCGCTCCGATGTACTGATCCGTTATTTTTTATTATCATTATTGCTCAAATTGTTACTGTTATATTAGGGAAGATCTCTGCTCTCAATTTTTATTTAAATTTTTTTAATGGGAAGATCCTTTTTTATAAGCATGGTGAGACAAACATGCATTTTATGCAATTTGAATTATATTATTTTAACTCGAGTTTGGTAGTAGAATTGTCTAAACCCAGCTCGAACGACAAAACAAACCGGATTACGGCTGCACATGTCACATCACTGTCACTGTCTCCTGCTTCCTCTCATCTTTCATATCTTGTCGGTTGTAACTGGGCGGCGCTACAGAGCGAGGAAGAGATGCGAGTCAAACAGTCAGGAGGAAGCACAAATAACCAAAAGAGACGAAGCAACAAGATCCGTTAGAGAGCCTCTCGGAACGAATTCCACTAAACGGGCCGCGACTCCTGACAAAACAAAAGCGCGGCGTCTGCGGAAGGCGGATACCGGAGTTCAACGGAGGTTTAATTTCATCCGCATCCTTATACTGTATCAGAGGAAACCATCCACCCCCGCCCCCGGTGACCCAGAAAGTAAACAGTTGTCTGGCAGATGGAGAAGCAGGCCGGAGCGGCGGACGGAGCAGGGCCGAACAGAAACCCCTGGGGCTCCCCGATCTCCGGATCAGCCACCGGTGACACTCTGGACAGGTGAGTGGGGCTCTCCATTACAAGTGTATCAAAGGCCCGCGTCGAGCCGCCCCTTTACAGATGTTTTGACTTCCCACAGTAGCTCAGGTCCACAAAATATTACTCAAACTATTCTTATAATCATATCTTTTTATTCGGCTTGTACCAAAACCCACACAGTAGCGCTTGTTTTACAAACATTTTAACTTTTAAAAGTAACCTCGGAGTCTTTCCTGTTAGCAGATGTTCCAGCAAATTGCCGGATTTTTGACTGGAGGTTTGAGTGACGGTTCAGCCTACTGGTTACTAGCTAACGGTGAACATGCTACACCACAATACAGTATGAGAACAAGCATAAAAGCGCCTAGCGTGCTGTTGGAGAGAAGAATATGGTCTAACAAGCTCCCTAAGAGACACCTAACAGCTAGAGGTAGGTATAATAAACCGGCGTAGCTTCGTATTAAATAGCTACCGCTAATGCCGGCCACAGCAGGGTACTGTAGGCGACGCTAGCGCTAATGTTTACAGCCACTTACTGATACATTTAATACCCCGCGCTTTTAGGGAAATTACTCTTCTTTTATAAATGCAGAGTGAGACAAATTGTTTCCCTGAATGTAGAGGCTGTTGATGATACAAAATATCTGGTAATTTAGAATTTGCAGCGTTTGACAATATTCTGTGACAGCATCTTGACGGTAGGAGCTGCTGTTGCACAGACGATGCTTTTGTTTATATTGTTGCTGTTATGTTCAGGCTAATGTTGGCTACAAGCTAGTATTTAAGTATTTGTGTTCAGATTACATGCGTATGTGATTCTTGTTCGATCTGTGTTATTTAGCCTTCAAAGAAAGGGGGAGACATGCCAAGTGCTTGATAACTGACATCTCATCTGCAGTCTGTGATTTTAACAAACATACAGTGTTATTCATGACACCATGATAAGTTCATCTGCTTGTCCATTTATGTGCCAATTACTGGAGCTGATATTCAACTTTTTTTTCTCCCTGATTTCAGTATCATTATTTACCAAGCAATTCCCCCTCAAAAAATAATCTATTAAATGGTTCTGCCACCACCTCTCTGTGTTTCTCTCCACAGCACTATCAGGACGAATAGTTTATCCAAACTGTGGGATAAATGTTGAAAAGCTCTGAAAAGTTGTACACAACATAAATATACAGACATTAATGTTGGATTTTATGTAATTCTAAATTTTGATGCAAAGATTTTAATTTTTGCTGCAATTATTTTTCATTTATTACCCATAATCAGTGTCCGCCTGAAAAAGAAACCACATTCGTCAACCCCTATTCCTTTGTCATAACAAGAAAAATGGCATTAAAAAAACAAATAAATAAATGCCATTTTGCAATATTATATCAGCTAAGCAGATTTTTTACTTATTACAAATACATTTGCACGTTTCAAAAAAGGATTTCCGTGTGACTTGTATGTTGTATCATTTATTTTATAGCTTTAAAAACATGCGCTAAAGACACAGCATTGTATTCTTCGAGCTAGAGGGAGATAGAGGCTGTTGGGATTATAACAAACATACAACTAATTAATTGCAATTTACATCCACAGAAACCGCTCAAACTATCTATATGTAGTATTTCCCAATATCAAAAAGGAAAATGAATGGCTGTTAAGTGATCGCTGTGGTCCACACGAAAAAAGTAAAAGGGCTGAGATTACTTTAACAGTTGACAGTTTTTATAACATTATACATTTTCAAGCGCAAACAACAGAGTGACGTCATATTCATCCCTCTGCTTTTTTGACATAAATGCTATTTGCATCCAGCTGTTGCTTGTAGTTATTTACAAATGTTAAATTTCAAGGGGGAAAAAACCCTGTTGAAGCAAATGTGAAAAGTATGTTGTTTTAGTTTTGGTGAATATGTGTCAGCTCCTTATTCCTGTCCTTCTCCTCAGTCCGACAGGTTCTCACGTGGAGTGGTGTAAACAGCTCATAGCAGCCACCATCTCCAGTCAGATCTCAGGATCCGTCCAACCAGACTTTGCGAACAGGGACAACAAGGTAGCTATCAGCTCAACACCCACACATTCACACTGCTGGCAGTATTTCTCATCAGTTTGTGTTTTGTAACTGATAGGCTGGGAGAAGACCAGATTTCATGGTAAGGCTGGCAGAAATGCCTGTGTACATCTATGTACACATGTGCTGTATGTGCACTTGAGTGTGGTGCAGGGCTTTGTGTCTTTATTGTATGTGAATGTGCTGTATCACTCCTGTTGGCATTGTTTAGATCAGCTATTGTAAGTTTATACTTGTGCTTTTGTCTGTCAGCAGCCTGCGTCCTACAATTGCAGCTCTCAACCAAGACATGTATTGGCTCATTAAATGTTGGACTTGGTGCTTTCAACCCCACTGATTAGTTTGAGAGAAGAAAAAAAAACAGGTCTGGATAAATACTCTAAGTACTTGATAGGGATGTATTGTTATGTGTAGCCAGTGGGGCAGTTGTTCTGTGCTGACCATGCTAGTCAGGTTAGCCTTTGGCTGTGTAGCTCATCTAACAAACACAAATGACAGCCCAGAGTTGGAAGATCCTGTCATTTCACTTTATTGTGTGCAAGGGAAATGGTTTCTACGTACATTGGACAGGGAGCAGAGTGCCACCTGTTGAAGACAAGTTCCGTGACATTACATTTGTAGAAACACTTACAATCAAACATGATAAAGCATTTGCATTAGCGTCAGTGATAGCCTTGATGTTTTTCTGCTAAAAATATTTCTTAAACAGCTTAAAACTGCTTAGAATGCAGATCTTTGATGTCATCGCGTCTCTGTTCACCTACCCTTCCCCACTCACTACAACTTGACCACAAAACTATTCAACATCAACAAATGTCATCTTGTAATATGGGAGTCTTTCAGTCATAAATGTTTTAACCAGAAACCAATTCTGATGAAGAATAACGATACAGAAAGCCTCACTCTGTAAGCAGAAAGGATTCTTTCCTTAGGTTTACTATATATGAAACTCCGGAAGTCTGAATCTGAGTCTAAATGTTTGATCTTTTAGTTTATAGGCACATCATATGGACAAGTGGAAAAAACAATGATTTTCATCAGAAGGGCGTTGAAGTATATCTACAGATACGAAAGCTGCACACAAAATCTAATGTAACTACTGGTCTAGAAACTCTTAGTCAGGTGACCCTTAACTATAGCAGACTTAGCTGTTCGCTAACAGAATATTTACAGTATGTAAGTAGTAAAAATTACATGTTGATCAGGTTTAATGTAGACATTTACACTGATAGTAATTAGAATTATAGATAAAAAAAAATGCCAGTGTCGTGGTTTCAGGAATAATTCCCCAAATCAGCAGTCGTCACGAAAACATTTTCACTTCCTTTGGTTGGTATTCTTTCCATTTAGAGACTATTGGTCCTGCTTTGGAGAAGCATGTTTATCTCAGTTTCTGCTTCCACCAATGGAGATGATTGGAATTTAGTGTTGCACATTACTCTTCAAGGCTGGTGACCTCTTCCAGGGTGTCCCCTGCCTTCACCCTAAGTCAGCTGGGATAGGCTCCAGCCCCCCGGCGACCCTAATGAGGATTAAGCGATGAATAGATAATGGATGGATGGATGGATGGACATTGCTCTTTACATGTTACAGAAATGTTGCTGTACTAACATAGGATAATCCACAGACCTTCTTCTTTGAGGCTGTTTCTGCAGTCAGAAGCTGTTCCTGTCAAAGTCTGCTCTGAGTTTTTACAAATTTACTTTTATTTGATTGCCATGTAATCAGGGCCAAATCCTTTTTAGTGCTGTGCTTCTGGGTTATGGATCTCCTCTGTAGAATTACATTATATGGCATATCCAGTGCTTTACTGTGGCTTGCATTTGAATTTACAAACACTGTATATTTGCTTGGCTGTTCTGCATGTCCTCTGTATTTTAGCAGCTTTAAGCTGTTATCTTAGCTTGAATTTGAATGTAGAATATTTTAAAAGTTGCAGTGCATTTTTGTTTTTGCAATTGCTTTGGGCTCTTGTCTGTTTGCACCCGTCTGTCACATGCTGGAGGCAATGCAGTATTAGACATTAGCACATTATATAAGAGATGTTTTCCAAGAATAAATGAAAGGTGTCATTCCACATAGTAAAAGTATAGAGATCATAGTGTGATTGTAGTGGTTTCCATTTCATGTCAACTCCATGTGTTGTTTTTTTATATTTGTATATTTGTGTGTGTGTGAATGTGTGTGCGTGTCATGTGACGTGTTTAACCTCCAGGTGTCCAAGAGGCTGAATCCCAGGGTAAGAGTTGTTCTCTTGTCAGCTTGTTGTCTGATAAATGCCCTACTTATAAAGCACACACTTCCCTCTAATTATGATGAGTCTTTCAGCAGTGTTGTGATGCAGTAAATATTCTGTAAATGTTTTAGGGAATCTGTTTATTAAGTATTTTTCATTTCATTGTGGATGCTATAATCAGCTAGGAATGTCAGTTTTTTCATCTGACAAATACATGCTAATGTCGCATAAAATCCACTGCTGGCATAGAGCATGCCATCCAGAGGCAAATGCTCACACCTTTTTCAGCTTGTTACATATGGTGGTATTATTATAGAAAAATTATTTGTAAATGTGTAAAAAGATTTGTAAAAAATCTATTGATGTGTAAAAAGATTTGTAAAAAATTTGTCAAACTGTAAAAAGATAGATGAAAAGTCAAAGTATTTGGCTACAAGTGCTGGAAATACAGACAAATCACCAGTTACAAGACAACTGGGCCTCACAATTGTCTTTTTACACATGAGTTTTGCTACATTTCTGCCCTGAGAGACTCCTAACAGGGTTTCTGTGCCCTGAGCTCAGGCTCACAGGATCGTTCATTTTGGCTGCGTACCACTCTGCTGCTCTTTACCTCAGTAGTTATGCCGCCTGCAAGCTATTATGAAAATTTTTCCTCAGTGACCCACAATCTCAGCAAATTTACCTTGTTCATATATATCAGACAATGTTGCGTGCCTTCAAAGATTCTGGAGGATAGCGCTGCATGATGCTTGCAGGTTTTTTACAAATCTTTTCATAGTTCAACTAATTTTTTACTAATCTTTTTACACATCGTTAATTTTTTTTACAAATCTCACTCCACATTTACAAATGGTTTTGCTACAATAATACCCCCATAGTTACACTGTGTTTGTTTTAGACTATAGAGCAGACATGCTTCCTGTTTTCATGTGAAGTAAACAGGAAGTGATTGTGTGGCCAAGGTGTGTGACTGTAACTGCAGACTGGTTTGGTCTGTCAGTGATGTCTGAAAGCAGAGGTTAACAGGGCTCCTTGCCTCAATCAGAGATAGACCCGAGCTTTCTCCCTCTCTGCTCAGTGCTTTCTTTCCCTTTTTTTTTTCCTCTTGCTGTGCCTTTTGTCATGGTTATTCTTTGTTTCTCTTGTTTCTCTTGTTTGGTGAAATCAGCCCTGTTCATTTAAAAATTCTAGAAGATCATCCATCATATGCCATGCATCTTTGTGTCCCTTGCTTTGCTGCAGGTCACCTTAACCTGATAGATCTGACACTGACTGCTGCAGTGTTCAGGGCTTGACATGAACTTTTTGAGGTGTTTTGTTTTCGGACATTTACCTTTCACTTATCCTGGCACAAAAGTCACCTGTCTGGGTCAAAGTGTCACTAAAAGGTACATTTATAAGCATAATTATTTTTAAATTATTAACAAGTGACAAACTTTTACATTCTTTTCATTCACATATGAATAGTGAGTTCCCTGTTGTCTTTTTATTTGATCCTGAACTGATGTTTAATAATGATAATTGACATACTGCACTGTGCATATTGCTGCAATTATGGTTTACAAGTACATGTGATGACTTCAGTTGCAATAAATAGCCACAGCAGGGTGTCATGAATGCATATATAATCATTTGTGGATCCATTTATGAATAATCTGAAAGTGGAAATGAAGCTCTTGCACATGTGACACTTCCCATAGTGACATAATAAAGTTTACAACACAAAATCAGACCAAGCAGCAACCTCCCAGACTTGAATTTTTCTGAACCTCACCGATTTAAATTGTGTTAACGCTCAAAATTATGCATAATTAAAGGTGTGACTGCTTTGAGTGACAGGTTGGTTGCATCATAGGACAGTCCATGGTCAGAAGATGCCCCACCTCTTTGTAAATTTTTGAATTATCAATTAGATTTTTGGAGTTAGGAAGAGTCAAGCACTGCTCATTTATTTATTTGTAGCACATGAGTAAGGTGTACATATGGCTTTATATATCTGACAAAATAAATGCATGTGCATATTGCTGTCTTAGTGAGTACATACTAGTTGTGAATCTACACTGAGTTTTATGCTTCTGGTCCCAGGTCTGCTGGCTGACACACAATCTGAGCACCAATAATCTAACCTACAAGATTATTTTGTAGCATTGTTCAACACCAGTGGCATGACTGAGCTCAGGGATCAGATCAGGACCTAAAGGCGACGGTGAACATTTCTTCACTGTCACACAGACTCACAGTTTATCAGCTGCAGTTCAATATTTTGTCACGTAGTGGAGGTCGTCAGGTTCCGCCCTAAACATTTAATTTCGCTGTTTAAGAAATCAGAAATAATGTTAGTTATTTGGACAATTTGATCAGCTGCTATTAGTTTAGTTTTAGTCTGTTTTTGCATTATTATGTATCATACATCACTTGTGTGATGTGATGTGTGTTGACTTGTCTGACATGAATGACACGTGTGTCCCGCAACGTTCTCCAGTAATGTGGGTGGTATGTGTGAATGCAGCCGTGAGGAGCATTAATGGATAAGTGACCTATGTGTGAAAGAGGCTTGAATGACAGAATGCTGTCACTTCAATGGATTGATGAACCCAGCAGTGTTCCGTGTCCTGTGTCTGAAAGGAGCTTTTGTACAGCAGCTAACACGAGGTAGCAAATATAACTTACTTGTCAGAGGGTTTGGATTGTCTGATTGGAGGCTGTTTTTTTTCTATATGGTGCTATATAAATAAAATTTAATTGAATTGAATTCTAGGTTGGATGTATACTAGGGAAGCTTCAAGGTGGCACCGGTTCACGTCCCAGTGAGGACATGCGAGATCTTTTTGCGTGGAGTTTGCATGTTCTCCCCGTGCAGCGTGGGTTCTCTCTGGGTTCTTCGGCTTCCTCCCACAAGGTCCAAAAACATGTTGAGGTTAATTGGTGATTCTGAATTACTCGTAGGTGTGAATGTGAGTGTGCTTGGTTGTCTGTCTCTAAGTGTAGCCCTGTGATAGACTGGCGACCTGTCCAGGGTGTCCCCTGGCGTCACCCTGAGTCAGGGATAGGCTCCAGCTCCCCCGTGATGATTAAGCGGTGTATAGATAATGGATGGATGGACGTATAATGGGGAAAAAACGGACGTGTTTTCATTTAACTAAATTGATGAGTAGTGAATTGCACATAATATAAAGGCAAATGGTTTCTTTATTTTTATTTTATTTTGTCTGACTTGTTACTTGTCCATAGGGCAAGTAAATATCTGCTGCTCACAGCAAAGCCTTAATGTCATACCTCACTGTTGCCCTAACAGTGGCTCAAAGGTTATCTACAGGGGAAAGTGAGCAACTGCCTAGAAGCTCCAGACCCCCAGGAGTCCCAAAAGCCAGATTTAGGCGATGGTAATAAAGTCTACATAATTTATGATTATTACATATTTGTTAAAACATGTGCAACACTGAAGTACCGTATTTACTATGTTCTCCATTATCCATCTTGTAGCCCTTTTGTGAAAATCTGGTTTTACAAAGGGATTGTTTTAGTTATTGACCTAATTTGTTGCAAATTTGCATTTTATTGTTTTTTGTTTTTTTTGGTATGTGTGTTTCAGGTAGTTAGCATGCATCAAACATAGCCATATTTTTCCATTGTCAGAGAGCTGCATGTCTGTCATAAATTATTTTCACTGTCAGTTAATTTCACAAAACAGTGAAAAACAATGTTTTCAGGTTGTTGCTTTTATGTGTCAGCAGCAAGTAACTATGAGTTTACTATAAAAAAAAACAAAACACGAAATAGCCAGTGCTCACTCTGGAGAAGATGAGAAGTGAGTTTGGGGCATTTTGGTTTGAAGATTATCTAAATGAATAATGAGCGATCAAACTGTTGCCTAATTAATTATCAGTCAGTTGACTAATACGTTACTCAATTGATTATTTCACCTATGGATAGGGTACCAGTGTAGCAATCACCTACATAGAGTGTTGCATTATGAGCTGTTTGTAGTCTTAATGTCATCATGATAGTATATATTTTCGTCTTGTTTATAGTGAATCTTTCAGAGTCAGTTAGCACTAAAGGTGTTGGGTTAGCCCAGTTTTACCTGCAGGAGTTTGTGAAGGTTCCTGTAACATGTTTTTCGACAGAGGAACTAAATTGTAGGATAGTTAAAAGGAGTTTATGTAGACTTTTGACAATGGAAAATCTGTGAAACAGACATGTGAGACAGACAGTGTGGAAAATGCTAACTGTCACAGAAAACGATGCTTGAAAGGAGAGTGTGTGTCAACAGCTAATAGAGAAGACACCCGAATGTGGATTTTATATTGTTTCACTTCTCCCTGAAAGAAGGCTTCAGGAATCTTTTATTATTAGAATAATACAGTCTCAGGACAAGTAAAAAAGAAAGTTTTTTTTTCTCAGAAATAATTTTTGGGAAAAGGGTTTGTCTTTTAATCAGTCATTCTATATTTGTGTCACTACAGCACAACAATACTGAATATTGGTGATGAGTTAGTGTCAGCCAGTGTAACACACAGATTAGTTGGTCTAGCTCCTACTGATATATATAATGGGAAATTAGCCAAGAGACTGTTTCTTGCTACAAGACACCAAATGGGAGTATCTGCTTTTTAATAATTCAGTGAAATAAAGAGCCGACCAATCAGGGAACATAATCGCAGTATTGCAAAAATCTAAATACATTAAAAGTCCAATAATCTTGTTGATTTCTTGCTCAGTGGGTCCCAGTTAGCAGGACTGGTTTATGATAGTATTCCCGTTGGGAATGTGCATTATCAGCAATTCGGTTGACCCTACATGTTTAGAGAGTTGTGGTGTCAGGAGTGAGTGGCATTGATAGGAAAGCCTTGTTGAGGTTATCATTTTGTACAAAGGACTTGTATGAATCACAAAGTTATGCAGTGACCTCGTCATTCCCTACAAGAAGACACCGAGCTCAGCACTGCAGGACGTGTGAAATGACCATAATAACAGTATACTATGCACACGTGTCTATTTACTGTGTAATCTGTCTTTCTGTCTCTTTTTCTCTCACTTTCTCCATGCTGGCTCTCCCCTGCAGCAGGATTCACAGGATGAAGGGCTTTGTTACCATGGAGAAAGTGATTCTGAGCATCCTTCCAATGCTTTGGCAAGTCTCTTTCTGTCTGTCTTTCCCCTGTTTACTTCTTCCTTGCTCCTTCCTGTTTGGGTCTGCTGGCCTCATTTTGCTGCCTCTTACACCTCTCTATCCTCTTACTTTCCTCCAGTGCTTCTGTACTGCCCTGAGGAACAGCAACAAATACAAGAAGGGTCTTATGAAAGATGTACTCTGGGAATTGTAGGAACCCGTTTTTTTTTTTTAATACTGTTTCTCCATACTAAGGACTAAAAGAGAGGATATCTGGAAGTGGAATACTAAATTCCACATGGAAATTATATAGGAATTATGTACACAGTATTAGAAACACTATCATTTCAGAAAAAAACTGTCACAGCCATGCCTGAAACTTTTTGGGGAAAACAATATGACATTTACGGGACAAATCTTATACTGTATTTTCCTTCAGGACATGCCAAAAGTTTCTTATTGATTGCTGAGAGTTGGATAGAAGTACAGCAAAGAGTGCTTTAAGTGCTTCAACATGATGAAGGGTCTCTTACTGTCTGGACTGTGTTTCTGCCGGCATTGTGGATTGTTGAGGCTACTGTTTTAAATGATGGAGTCATAAATGCTGAAAAGTAAATGAAAGTGTGAGGGCGCAGCTATAGTCCCTGATGCGGAAGTAATGAGTTTGAATCCCAGTCATGGCCCTTTTCCGCAGGTCCTTCCCCCATTCTTCTCCCCCACTTTCCTGTCTCTCTCTACTGCCCTATCAAATAAAAGGCAAAAAGGCCAAAAAAAGAAATCGGCGTTGGTTGTTTTTCAGTCTGTCAACGACAGAACAAATCTAAAGTCTAAAGAAGACCTCTGGGACGTGCTAGACGAATCATTTTATTATATACCACAAGAATAAATAAGAAAACTCAAAGACAATCAAACCAGGAGATGTGCAAAGTGCGGTCATGCTTAATACCGTCTTTATTTCTTCGGACAACAGAGCTTGCAACATGCTAGCTCTCAGTACATTATTTATACACTCTGCTGTAATTGGGTTTTATTTTCTCATGTTGCTACCACACTGCCACCAGGCAGAGAGGCTTATTTAAGTTGTAGAAACTAGAGAATTAGGAAGCTGTTGACAATAATGATCATCTTCACCTCCATTTTGTTTAAAATTGTGTTATGTACGTGAAGTACAAAGAACTCTGGTCTTTCATTCCCAAGGTAGTTCAAGTTTCTAATGCTTCTTAATGTTGTAAAGAAGTGGGTGGTGTTAGCATGTTTTTCAGGCTTCACTTGTTGCCTCAGCAGAACTGAGATGGCATTCATTTTTGTTCTTGTTTTGAACTGGTGTTATCCGTTTCATTTTCAGTAACACTGACTGTAGAGTACATATCTGAAAGCATTAGGTGTTTGATAAAGTGTTGCCTAAAACACATGCATTCCTAAAGTGGAAAGCTCCTGTGTAAATCACGAGGGAATCGCAATTTTTGACCATTATTTATATATAATACAGTGTCTGATCCTAATACTTTACTGTAAGTGTGCATGATGCAGGTCTAGCTGCATGTTCGTGCTGCACATTGCGGTCACACTGACTGGTCTGTGTTATGTACAGAACCTTTCGGCTCTGAGATACGGAGCACAGGTCAAAATGTCCCAGAACCAGGTTCCTCTGCTGCCAGGAGAGACCATCCAGACTACAGGTACCTTTCTCCCACTCTGTCGCTCTGCCCTGAGTCCACCACTGTCTTCATGTGTATTATCCTGCCACTCAGTTGCTTAATATTTGATATATTTGCTGCACTCCTGCCAGTGAATCAATATCTTTTCAATGTGACTTCTGTGTGTGTACGTGTGTGTGTGTGCGCTGATGCAGTCAAGGATGTGATGTACATCTGTCCATTCAGTGGTCTGCTTAATGGGACTCTGACCGTCACAGACTACAAGCTGTATTTCACCAGCATGGAAAAGGTACTGCAGGCCTGCTTTATTATTTACACAAAAATTTGGCTAAAAAAAAATATTTTAAAATGAAAACACTGCAAAAAGACTGCACTCTAGGATACATGTTATGCAGCACGCCAGACTCAGGGTTTAAACTCTTGTGTCAACGGTTTTACAAATTCCTGCTTGTGTGACAGTCAGGCTTTTGATGATCTCATATGTGGTAAAGCTCCATCACATTATTTTAAATCTGTTACACTGGACTGATTTATTTATTTATTTATTTTTAAGGATTTCACTTAGAAATGTTTGTCCCAAATTAAATCACAATTGCATAATCTGTCAGAAAAATCGCAATTAGATGTATTCCCCAAATCGTGTTAATGTCAGTGTGTGTACATTCAGGAGTCTCACTTCATTCTTGATGTGAACCTGGGAGTCATCAGCAGGCTGGAGTCCATCAGTGTTCCCAACCAGGGAGAGAACACCAAAGGACTGGAGCTGGTTTGCAAGGTATCACTTACAAACACACAAACAGAAAATTATTGAGAATTTTACCTTCCAATAACAGCAATATAAAACAGAGGAAAAGCAGCAAATCCACATAACTGTGTGGAGTCTTCCACATTGATGCATTTTCTGATCTTCTGCTTGCAGGACATGAGGAGTCCCAGGTTTGCCTATAAGACAGAGGAGAGCCAGCCAGATATAGTGGAGCTGCTGACCAAACATGCCTTCCCTCTTTCTCACAGCCTGGTCAGTCACGTCCAGATCTCTTCTTTGCTATTGGCTTGAGTAGATGTGAATGTCTTGCTTCAAAGCTGCCATTGAGTATTGCTGTGATCAGACTGAATACAGTACAAGATATATACCCATACTGTCAACGTGTTAAAAGTTACATACATTTCTTTTTAAAAAAAAATCTTTTGGTCCGTAAAAACTGTTTGGTGGAATCGCTATTAGTTTGGGGAGATTTTGATGGGATTATAATGTAAGCAATTGATTGATTACTTAATAATAATCATGTAAGCTGATTGTTTGACTATAAGCTATGGGACTTTCCATACTTACATATTTTTTGTACACAATTCTTAGTTGCCTTTTATTTCTCAAACAAGCCCCACACACTTATGTTTCATCATCAACCACACAAAAGGAAAAAACCCAGAAAAAATGTAACTTGTTCTAAGAATATTCCAACAAAAAAGACAATCAGAGGGTCCCTGCTGTGCTCTTTGTCCGATGATCGTGCCAACATGCAAGATACAAACGAAGAGTGAGTGGTGTACTTTAACTCAACTATAGGACTACAGACATTCACGATGGGATCATTTCAAAGGGGTTTCACTTCATTCTCATGACTGTTTTAGATTTCAGGCCTATCAATAAAATAAACCCTATGTGGTGGTCATACTGATGTATTTTGAAAAAGGTCTTACATAAAGGAAACAATAGCAGCATCTAATTGCTCAAGCCATAAATACTGATCGTCCTGCAGAGATTGAATACTAACATATCACCTGCTACATCCTTTTTCAGCCCATGTTTGCCTTCCTGTACAAGGAGCAGTTTCCTGTGGACGGCTGGAAGGTGTACGACGCAGCAGCAGAGTACAGACGTCAGGTAACAGTGCACCAGTTAACTAGATGTGTAATTCTCACAGCACACAACTCAGTGTTGTTGGCATGAACATTGTGGAATCATACATTTTGTTTTGCCATTTTGGTATTAGGATTATGTTTTCCAGTTTTTCACAAATTAATCCTACCATCATGTTTCACAATTGCTGCTAAGGTACTGTAAGGTAAACTCCCACTTCCTGCAGATATTTCACATTTAAAACTTACCAGGAAAGGCAGTGATTGTGACCTATAAAAAATAAAAGCAAGAGATGTTTTAACGAGACATGTATGTTTAGGAAGTGACAGTAGCATAACAGAAATGAAAATGGAACCAATGATTTGACTGTTGTTAGGCTGACAGAGTTAGTCACTGCAATTAAGGTAAATACAAGCTCTTAACACAGTAGCTAGCCAACTGGAAGACTTTTGTTTTGTGCTTTATATACACAACCCCCCCCCCCAAGGTTTGCTAATGGTTTCTTCTATGTGGTTGGATGTTTTTTTCGTCAGGGCCTACCTAATGAGAGCTGGACCATCAGTAAGATCAACAGCACCTACGAGCTATGTGACACCTATCCCTCCATCCTGGTCATCCCCACTAACTTCACGGACGATGACATCAAGCGAGTGTCGTTGTTTCGGGCCAAGCACCGCATACCGGTCAGTCTGAGAAGCATATTCTGAGGAGAGACGCCTGAGGTTTTTAATATTGAGCTTTGTTATTCAATCTTGACCTTGGAAACAGCAGCTGACAGAGTAACGTCTTTGACATAGAGAGATTCTTTGGTCAACGGTGTTGATGCTGTTAAAGTCCACATGGTGAACATCATTATTCTTGGCAAATAAACTGAAACCTGTTGTAAATCCCTGTTGTAAACATGTCATTTCCCAACAAAGAGTCCATTTGTTGGGAAGCTGCATTTGCTGCTCTGTTGAGTATTTTAAGCTGCAGGTATGAGATTCCAGTTCATGTCATGCAGCTAAGGTAGTTCTTTCTGCAGGTCTTATCCTGGATCCATCCAGAGACTCAGGCCACCATTGTGCGTTGCAGCCAGCCATTAGTCGGACCGTCAGACCGCCGCTGTAAAGAAGACGAACGTTTCCTCCAGATCATCATGGATGCCAACGCTCAGTCCCACAAGCTCACCATATTTGATGCCCGGCAGAGCAGCGTGGCCATTACCAACAAGGTCCAACTCATATATTTTTCTTGTCCAATGATATTTTACTCTTAGTTTCTCCCTCTGTCATCCCACATGTTGACTCAGATCTTGCTTTCTTCATCTTTGTAATCCCTCCACTCTGGCCTTGCCCCTCTCTGCTGCACCCACCAGGCAAAGGATGGAGGATATGAAAGTGAAAGTTTCTACCCCAACGTAGAGCTGAACTTCCTGGAAATCCCGAACATCCATGTGATGAGGGAGTCTTTAAGGAAGATGAAGGACGTAGTTTATCCGACCATAGATGAAGCCCACTGGCACTCCGCGATTGACCAGACACACTGGTTGGAGTACATACGGGTACATACATAAACACATCGTAAAGAATTAATTAAATATACCAAAATACTCTGTTGTTTCTGTGTCGCTTCACCTGCAGAGAATGTACCTAAAATGTCTTGTAACACACTCTAATGTGTCCCGGTTTTGTTCAGCTGTTATTATCAGGAGCAGCAAAGGTAGCAGATAAGCTGGAATCCGGGAAGACGTCGGTGGTGGTTCATTGCAGCGATGGCTGGGACAGAACCGCCCAGCTCACTTCTCTGGCCATGCTAATGCTGGACAGCTACTACCGCACGCTCAGAGGCTTCCAGGTAACACGCTACATCACTAGCTACAACGCTGTAGTCTTCATCTGTGCAGTGTGGTAATGTGATTTATGTTGGTTTGCGTTTGCAGGTTCTGGTTGAGAAGGAGTGGATTAGCTTCGGACACAAGTTTTCTGCTGTAAGACATTTCTACCAAATGTGTTGCTTAAAAAAAAGTATATCACTGTATTGTGTCCATAACAGAACAGCATCCTCAATTATGGTGACTGGGTTGACTGTCTAACACAAATCATTTGCAGCAAAAAAAAGAAAAAGAAAAATGGCCTCTGAACCCCATTTACACCTGTAATTAACATGCAATCAGTACTATATTTGCACATATATGTTACCTACATTGATGTCAGATCACATCCCTTTACACCTGCTATTGATAGGTGTTACATAGAGCAGTGACTGGTGAGGTTTTAATAACTTGACCCCTTGTGATGAACTGTCATTACTTAAGGTCCCCCTTAGGTAAATTATTGTCATTGTGTTGCACATTTACGACTTCACATGTACAGGAAAAGAACAGGTGTACAGGCACATGTGGCCGAACACAGTCACATATCAAGTTATTTAGCCTATTAAATACAATTGCAATGTATGCTAAGTGCATGTCAGCTCTAGTTGTCAGTCATTTATACCACCATACCACAGTTGGGCTGAAGTGTGCTCTGCATGCATTTATGCACATCATAGCTGTTTTGGCAGCACATGACATGACATGACAGCAGATGGTCATATTTTTGCTCTATGGTACAGTCGTCTTCAAATGTATTCATACCCTTCCATTAAAGTAAAGGCAAAATTCCCAATAGTCACTTAAACAACTCGTAACTGAAAAAAGTAATATATATATTTTAATTATTATTGTTTAGTGAAGACGTTGCTTTTGAATTGTGGTTTAAAAGAATTTTTAAAAAATAAAAAAACTGTCCCGGACAAATTAGAGCACTTTGCTGATGAGCAGTTGAGCAGTGGGCCAAAATAGCTGCCAACAGGTGCAGAAGTCTGATATACAGTTACAGAAAACACTTGATTGCCCTGATTGCCTCAAAGGGTTATTCAACAAAATATTAGTTCACAGGTCCCATCATGCTTGTTAGCTTGTGTTTTTTTGTTGTTGTTTTTTAAAAAAAAAAATTTTCTGTTGAACCACTATTCAAAAGCGATGTCATAATATTCATTAACTTTTTATTTATTATTACTTTAGTCAATTTCAACTTATTTCAGTGACAGCTGTTTTTTCCGTTAATGGGAGCGTATGAACAAATTTGAGGACATTCAGACATGATATCAGGCCCTAAAGTTTGAATCCATGACTGTTTTTTTCCCTGTGTTGCAGCGAGTGGGTCACGGTGATGAGAACCACGCGAACTCGGAGCGCTCACCTCTTTTCCTCCAGTTCATTGACTGTGTTTGGCAGATGACTCGACAGGTCAGAGTCCTTAATCCAGACTTTAGATGTCAAATGTCATTATCAGGCGTTAATTGCTTGTTTCCACGGAGTTGCATGCTAAAACATCTATGTGTATACTCTGTATATGTATGTATGTCTACTGTATGTACAATCGCTCTTTCTAGGATCCTCAGAAGCTGCATCTCATAATATTTTCTTCTTCTGACTGCAGTTCCCAGCAGCTTTTGAATTCAATGAACTGTTCCTGATCACAGTGCTGGACCACCTCTACAGCTGTCTGTTTGGTACATTCCTCTATAACAGTGAACAGGAGAGAGCAGCCAAGGTATGTTTGTATGTTTTTGCTTCCGGTAATAAGCGTCATGGATCTATAAGAACCAAATGAAAGTTTTTCTCTTTCCTATGCAGGAGGTTCAGGCCAAGACTGTGTCCCTGTGGTCCTACATCAACAGGTAAAATACTGGCCTCATTAATATGAGGGAGTGGAGTGAATGACTGTCTGACTGTCTTATGCTTTTCCTTACCAGCCAACCAGAGGACTTCACCAACCCTTTCTATGTGGACTATGAGAACCATGTTTTGTACCCACTGGTCTCCTCCAGACACCTGGAGCTGTGGACCAGCTACTACGCCCGCTGGAACCCACGCATGAGACCACAGGTATGCTGTCTCTTCACTAGGTGATGGAGGAGTATTTAAGGCTGTGATATAGATGCTTGTTGAAGTTGATCAGAGAAAGAGTACAAAATAAATCAGAAAACGATGACAGAAAATGCTGACTAGTGTGACCAGAATTCATCAAAATGTTAATTTCAGTTCTCCTAACATTTCATTTCGGCATTTTTTTTCACAAACTGGTCATGAGGAAGCTATGAGTGAACAAACAGAAACTCTAATTAAAACGGAACCCTTCTGTGCCCATAAAACCACTACATTTCTCATATGGCACAATATATATTTTGTGCCTTTCATTGCATTATGTCTTTGTTATAACATTAAAAGTTAACTCATAGTGGGAGTTTTTTTGTTGTTTGTTTTTCATGACACTTTACTGACATTATAAATGCAGATTTCTTGTATATTTTTACAGTATTGACATTTATAAAATTGTAAATTTACTCATAATATGCACCTTGTAAAATTAAACCTGCCACTATTGTCAACATAATCAGTGACGTTGACACAGGAAATGCATCGACATCAATATTGTTAACTGACGCCTGTTTTTGAAGTTTAGTTCATTGTAGCAGTTTTTTTTTCTTCTATTCTTCTATTACTGCGTAATTGTTGCATCCTGGCTGCAGGGTGGCGCAGTTGGTAGCACTGTTGCTTCGCAGCAAGAAGGTTGCCAGTTCGCGTCCCGGTGGGGACACCGGAATCTTTCTGCGTGGAGTTTGCATGTTCTCCCCGTGCAGCGTGGGTTCTCTCCGGGTTCTCTGGCTTCCTCCCACACAGTCCAAAAACATGCTGAGGTTAATTGGTGATTCTAAATTGTCTGTAGGTGTGAATGTGAGTGTGCTTGGTTGTCTGTCTCTCAGTGTGGCCCTGTGATAGACTGGCGACCTGTTCAGGGTGTCCCCTGCCTTCGCCCTAAGTCAGCTGGGATAGGCTCCAGCCCCCCCGCGACCCTAATGAGGATTAAGCAGTGTATAGATAATGGATGGATGGATGTTGCATCCTGACATCCTATTTGGCTCTAGTCACTGGTCAGCTGCAGTGAGCACTACAGTTTTAGACAATGGTGGCAGCAGCAAAGTCCGGCTTGGTTCAGCGTAAAAGTTCCCAACCAAAAGATCAAATGATCACAGAAAAAAAAGATGGTTACTGTATTTTAAGACAGTTGAATTTCCAAAAAAGCTCTTCTTATTTGGAATAGAATCATTTAAACAGCATGGTACCCATCACTCCCAACATGCTGCTCTATGCTAAACTCCTGATTTCAAAACTGTGACTTCGTCTGGAAAATTCACCATTCACATGAGTTAAATGCGATGGCTGTTCTCAGACTAAAGCTATATTTTCATAAAATTTAAAGCTGCCACTAAAGTTAGAGAACATTTACAGAAAAAGGTGGAAATTAATTGATTAAGCTGATCTGTGCTTGTAAAAATATCCAGCATGTCAATGATGCACTTTAATACACAGACAGAGTTTATTAAGTGTTTAATAGAAACTAAGATCTGTTTTGGAGTTGCTCTACAAACTTAATAATAAACCCACATTTTTATTAGTTTTTAGATTGGGGTTGCAATTTTAATCGTACGTTTTTGCTTTAATTGATGTAAAACTGCAAATTTCATCTTATGGTTTTTTGTAAAATGATGACTTAGTGCTTTGTGAATGTATAGAATCATTCACAATTTAACTTTTTTCTTGAAATTATAGTTTTGTTCTCGTAAGATTAAACTTTTTTTCAAAATATTACAGTATTCTTGAGATCCTTGATTTCAGTGCCAGTGGCCCTAATAATTTGTCATTGAAGTAGCCAACGAGGTTTCACTTCTCACACAAGCCACCTCTCAGTCGTACCTGACTTGAGCTACATTCTACTTGTAGTGTAAAGCCTTTGTTCATGACACTGTGATTTTGTGTTTCAGGTGCCGGTGCATCAGACACTGAAGGAAATGCTGATCTTACGAGCAGAGCTCCAGAGGAGGGTGGAGGAGCTGCAGAGAGAGGCTACCTCCCACTCCCTGTCCTCCTCCTCTGAACATTCCCCCTCCCCCACACACACCACAGGAACCCCGCTACACACCGCCGTGTAACTCACATCTGAAGCACCGCCACACTCCACTGTCTGCCACACAAAGGCACATAGTTATATGCATGTTTTAACCCTGTTACAACACATGCTGAGGATAACAATGTTTACAACCTGAGGGATTCGTAAATTATAATACCAGTTCTGCATTTATCCAAAAACATTTAGCAAGGTAAAGTGATCTCAAGGTGTTTGTGAAGTTAAAAAAAATATATATTTAAGAAAGTCTTAAAAGCTTAAGGTGCACTTGGAGAATGCAGATTTCTACCAAGGCCAACCTACCATTGTTAAGTGAAATGGGATTTCCCAGCAAACTAGGTCTGCAACAAATTTTATGGTTAGAACATGCTCCACCTCTCCAAGTTTCATGAAAATCAGCTTGGTCGTTTTTCTATAATCCTGCTGACAAACAACCAAACAGTGATGAAAGCATTTCCTCCTCGGTGGATTTTACTAGACCTAATTGAACCTTCTTGTGATTGTTTCCACTGCCTTCATCAGTTCAGAACAGCCTGCTCCTTCTGTACTAAGAGGAACTAAGAGTTTGTGTTTATAATTACATTCAGACTTGATCCTCGGTTTTGTGAAGATGCCACCAATTTTATTAGTAGGTGATTTTATTTTTGTATGAGGAAACGTTACATGTCTCAGGGCTCAGACTGTAGACAGCTGACAGTCACATGTTGCAAATAACTTTACTTTTTAAATAAAATAGCCCTGACACTTCATCTCCACTTTGTCAATGTTTGAGCAATGTTGATCAATGCTGAATCTTTATGATCAGCTATGCCACAGCACTCATTTTTTAAAATTACATTCACAGGAACTGTAATTTTATTAAAGTGGAAGAATCATTTTAGGAATAAAAATCATAGACCATTATAATCACAGCATGAATCCCAGTCTAAAAGTTAGCTGTTGACACCTCCAGATCCCATCCCTTCCATAAATACATCGTGACCCTTCACCTACCTCCCGCGTGCAGACACTGCCACAGCAGAGACCAAAACAGAAACAGCCTGCCATGAACTCTCTGCACTGGTGGACGGCTTTCTTTTCCCCTTCTTCACTCCCGGGACACTGCCTTCGTGTTTTTCTTTATTTTGTCTTAAAAACTGTTGTCTTCCTTTTGTTTACATTGGTGACTCCATGATTCAGCCGTGTCACTGGTTTTATATCCCCACCGCTTTGTTTTTTACTGGTGTAAAATTCTGATCAGTGTTTATACTTATACAGTTAGTGCCCCTTTTGTGTTACAATATATTGGGTCGGGAGCTAATAATTTATTTTTCTGTTAATTGGGTGGATGGAGCTTTGAACATGGAGTGAAAGCAATCTCTGTTTTCAGTCCGTGTTGACAGCAGGCTGCAATCTTTTGTTTTGCTTCAGCGCAACAGTGGCACAACTTGGGAAACAAGTTAAAAGTCTTTTTATCATTTAGTGGTTAGGTCTTAGAGCAGGGGTTCCCAAACTTTTCAGCCCTCGACCCTCAAAATAACAGTTCCTGAGACTGGTGACCCCCACTATCCCCGGAGGTGACTGAAGCATAACAAAACGTGTGCACACGGATGCACGCACTAATAGGTGTATCCAAACACGGGCAAAACGACAATAAAAAGGAAGAGAACAGCCTGACAACCATGGTATGATTTCACATATAACAATTTACTATAAGATGAAAGCAGACCACATCCGTCAAAATCTCCATGTAACTTACGAGTGAACATTGTTGCTGGAATGCAAAGTAGTGACTTATACACTTTAATTTCCATATAAGCAGAAGAATATCTCAGTCAGAGTAACGGTGGTCCTCTCCTCCTCTCGCACCAGAAGTTGACAGTGGTTCTCCACCCCCCTCTGCTGCCTTCTCTTTTGTTGGTATCAACCAGCGTTTCATTATGAAAAATATGATCCAAGCTTTAAATCCTAATGTACTGGTTTGAGATGTTCAGAAGAAATCTCCTGGTGTACCCTGACATGTGTGACATATGTGATGTTTCACGTCCAAATGATACTGTTGTTAATCCGTTGTAATCACTCCAGGGGTTACATCAGGAGGACTCTGAAAATCATTTCGCGACCCCTCAGGGGGTCCCGAGGCCTCACTTTGGGAACCCCTGTCTTAGAGGATTCAGGAAAGAAAGTGCTGAAAGAGTAGATATGTTGGATTTTTTTTGTCTTGAAGTCTTGAAGCTTAAACCTGCAAAAGTGCTACTTATTTCTCACTTGATCGTGACTAGAACAGTGTTATTTTAGGTCTTTGTTAAATAGGAGTGACAAATAAAACAGCCAATCAAAATTGAGTGTCAGAAGCGTATTATTGTTACCCAGCTAGTGTGTCAAAGTGAAAGTTTTTTCGATTGTCATACAGTCAATACAATCATAAGTTTAATGTGCTATGAAAGATTTGAGCAGGTTTCACTGCTGACTTATAATAATTCAGGATGTTTCTTAGCTTTTAAGTCCTGGACAATTGCACAGAACGTTTTGTGTGACTATATAGTGCCATCCCAGCCAATTAGAAGAGTAACAATCAGCCCTCATCCAATAATATTAGTTTGGATAACGGTTACGAATGTGGTCCTGTTGCTGTTATTTCAACAGTGCACTCACTTGTTGGGCTGGATTAGTGTTTAAATGAGCACATAGCAGGTTTAACCCTCACAGTTCTGCCTACTTTTATTATTTTTGCTCTTTTGGTGTATTTTTACAGTGTAAAGGCAGCCCTTTTAGTCGAACACAATGTCACCCATATATTGCTGTACATACATGTGGAAGCTTAAGTGTGAATTTGTCTTTTTTTTTTAATGTAACCATGTTTAATTATGTGAAGCTAAACACAAAACCTCCTAATGAGCCATATTCACTTCTGACATTCCATTAAAAAAAAAAATAAAACAGGAACAATTCAGAAATCCAGTGTCTTCCTTGTATTTATTTTTTTATTGTTTTTTTTATTGGTTCATATTAGTAACAATACCTGTAACATATTGTCAGAAAGTTAGCATAGTGGAATAAGAGAGAAAGCAGAGTTCACTATTACACTTTAAAGCAGTGTCCAACATTCAGTTGTCTGAAAGACGCACAGTTCAACACTTGCAAGCTACAAGTAACTATAATACAGTATGTAGAGAAAAGCATGCATCAAAGTGCGTATGTGTATCAGAGCAGTATACTGTATAAGTGTGAGTGTATGTGGCAGGTGACCTTACAAAGGCAGCCCTCGTTTCTGTTAAGCTTTAGCTTTGCTGGGCTCCGTACTGGGAACAAGATGTGACTGTTGTTGGTTTTTTTGTTTACCAGAATCTGTTTCTAAATCAAAAGGTGAGGCTGCAGGACTTTGGCTGGCTTTGAACGACACAGTGACCAGCACTGGAGCACACTGCAGGGACGGGACAGGCAGAGCAGCAGCATGACAGCAGGTGAGTGTCACGCGACTGCGCCCACAACCGTGTCTTTAACGTGGAAGAACTGCCACAGAAGTGCAGATCCCATGCAGTCAGGGAGGTTTGATGTACACCGAAGGCTAGTTTAGTGCAATTATTCCTTGAGAAAAAAAAAATCTGGTCCAGGTTTGTGTGCTTTGTACAACAGGGCTGTCAATAAGTATAAATTTGATTGTGAAAATTTTGATTTTATTGTGGGGAAAAAAAAGGCACCACACCCCAGCACTTTTCCAGACCAAATGAAATGTGAGCAAAAGACAGCTATTCAAATCTTTTTCTTTTTTTTTTGTCAGCACAAATAATTGAATGTCTTTTTTGGCCTGTTTTGACAGCGCTATTGGTGAAAGTCACATTTGACTGGATTTTTCAGTCCCTCAAAACTGTCTGACAATTTTTTTTTTTTTTAGAGCTCCTGTAATTCAGCCTAAACCTGCAAAATTGCAGCTCATTCATGACAGAAGAAACATTTTACAACAGCTTGAACACGTGGCTTTAGAATGCCTTTACTGTTTGAGGAGGGTCATAAATGTAAAACAAGGTCACTTCCCTTATGCTAATATGGTCAGCACCTCATCTGATCTCTGGTCATAGTTTCCACTTTTTATGTGATTTTCAAAGACACATTTGATTACTCTAATGTTTTAAATGCAACTACCATTAATAAAAATGTGGTTATGCTGATATCTTGCTGTTGTGTTTTTATCAGAAATCTCATTATCCAGTTTGTTTCCTTGATTATGCTCCATTCAAAGGGTTCAAAACTTATACTGTTAGGAATTTTTTAAAGCACAAAATATTTCCCATCCCACCCTTGCTGCTTCCCCCTGTGATTGCCTCCCAGCCTATTATACACCGCTACAGTATCCTTAACAACAACCACACATGGCTGATGTGCCCCAAGCCCCAAATGTAAACACCTCACCAGAGTCCCCAGCCACCCAACACCAAATCATTCACATTAGATGAGCTACATTTTGCTGGTAGGTACTTCAGTCGTGTTGGGGTCAGCACACACTACACAGGGCTGCAGCAGCTTTGATGGTCATGTTGTGGTGTCCATCGTCCATACGTTCAGTACAGTCTGGTAAATGATTCCAAACAGCAGTACATTGTGTTCCACATAGGACCCTTAAAGCAGCATCACCATCCACAATACCGACAGTAAACTCAGTCATTCACACATCGTGTATTGAAGTGAGCATACAGCTACACACATTATGTCGTATCAGGTGCATTTCTACTTTCTTTACTTATTTCAAAACAGACCCTTTACATCCACGTACACTCTACTCCTCACTCCAAGTCTTAATCTTAATGATTAAACTAATTCAAACGTCGCACTCGAGGTCGTCTGCGTTATATTCAGATTCAAGCAAATCCTTTTTCTTCATTATTGTCCTTCATTTCCAATAAATAAAGGCAAAGTCAATCACAATCAGCGCTACGTCTTTGGTGAATTAGAGTTTTTGCTACAAGCCAAATGTTTTTTTGCTATAAAACATGACGATGTTTAATACATTCAGTAAACAGAAAGTTTTGCGATTTTGTGTTTGAGTGAAGTTCAGCTCTCAGCAGCCTGAGCCTGATGAAACAGCCACGCCTTTCCGTCCTCTGGGTACTGAGTCCACTCGCTCACCAGAAGATGAAGGCAGTGGCTGTTGCTCCCACTCAGTTGCTGCAGCTACGGCGTGTTAAGATGAATATTGTGGCGCGTCCCTGTGGGACTGTGCAGGGTATAAGGCAAAGAGAGAAGCACCATTTGAATTACAGCTGATAGGGCAGAGAGATTATCCATGCATGAGTCTTACAAGGTGAACTCATCAGTTTTTACAGCAACTCCAACCACCCACAGTCCCTGAACACAACACGCCAGTCAAGTTCAAAATGCAGCTCACAAAACATGTTGGATCGCTTTTATAAAATGGTATGAGAGCCCTAAAAAACAGAGAATTATCATGACTGCTGAGGCAACACACTGGTTTACCATAAATGGGGTGTTTCAGCACTGACAACTGGTTGCACAAAAATCTGTCAGCCTACATACAGTATACATGTGTCACATACATTTGTAGGCATGAACCTCAAAGTCATGGAGAGAAATCTAGATTTTTTTTTAAAGCCTGAAAAAGGAGCCAGGAGCAGGTGCAGGATTCTAGTTTCCTTTCAAATCAGTTGAATTACTACATGCAGAACAGTTAGTGTAGAATAATTGCCTAGTGAGGCCAGAAAATACTGCCTATCCCTGCTTTTATACTTAAAATATCAGATAAGCCTGCCTTTTGAGGTCTTTACACCTATGGCAGTTTTTTCCCCCCAATACAATAAGTAAGTTTGTTTTTTTTTGTTAAGAGAGTTCTACTATGACTTGAAGATTAAGATAACACTATGAACGGACCTCTGTTTTCTCCATGGCACTATGCAGCTTTAGAAGTTAAATGCACAGCAAACGTGCTGCTTAACACTCAAAATAAGTTCACAACTTTGTGTGCATGTGCTCTATTTGTCTATCTTTGTGCAACCAGCTGCCGTGGCATGTTGTGCTGCAGCAGGCTGTCGTGTTCAAGGACTTTGAGTGAAGGAGTGAAAAAGGAATTGTGAGTAGAAGAGACTGCTTTTCCAAGGCAACATGGAGGAGAGCAGAGTGCGGTATTTGTGTAGGACTATGCTGCATCCTGTCAGATATGTAACCAACTCTTCTTATAGACCACAGCTGGATGACTGCACTCTCCGACACTATTACAGCTCACATAACACATACTCATTCAGTATTCAACATAGTTAAGAACAAAATGTAAAAACAGAGATTTATACACATTAAGGTCAAGAGCTAACATCCAAAGTCCTTCACACATTTTCTTCTGCGTAGATACAGACTGTTCTATCAGACACTACTCAGTCATGTACAGTGCTTAACGGTAGCCGTTAACCAGTCGCTGCATGTTTCACATTTATATCGTGCATTTCTTTCTTCTTTATGTTTTAAAAATGCATAGGTGGTTGTTGGTCTGTTTTTGAAAGAACAGTAAAACAAAAGCAAGCTCTCTTATACAGCAAAGAGGGCTGCAGATGTGCATGCAGTGGTTTCATATTCTAATTGGAGAACTTTTTTTCAGAAGGCTCAGAAATATTCAAGTATGAATAAAGAATTACCTGGAAAGCCAATCCAATGTGGTGCTTCACACAACCACCTTCGCAATCATACAAATGTCTTTTGTTGACGATGCCATTCTCTACCAGACATGATGACTTCATTCACTATGATTGAAATCCACTCTGTGTGTCACTTCAAATTTGGAGCAGTGCTATAAAACAATCTAAATATCCGACAGTATAGAAAACAGTGAATGGCTTTCCGATGCAGCCCAGGTCTCCCAGTTAAAGCTTTCTCATTTAAGAACATACAAGACTCGAGAATTGCGTAGTAAAACAACTAACCGTTGGCAGTACACAACAAGCTCACTTTCTAGGAAGCAGTAACTATCTACAAAAGTTTAAGCTACGTTATTAGGAAAATTCAATTCGGGTACAAAGTGTAAAAAGAGCAGGCGAAGAGTGTAAACACACACACACTAAAGACTTAAGTCTAATATGGAGCATAAATATGCTCCTAGAGACTTCTACTTGTATAAACACAGAACTGCTCACAGTACAACCATCACAACTTTCCAAAAGTATTTGTTAGGACGCTATTTAAAACCTAAAGCTAACTATGGCTGCTAAAATCATCTACACAGCTAAAGAAGTTCTACCTTTTTTTAAAACGCGGATTATGTTCACCACAATGTTCTGCGTGGCAGTGCTTAGTCACTTGAACTCCTCTCCGACTTCATAGGTGTCATCCTTCATTGCTTATCTGATATCCCTTCAACACCTCTTCTTTCATAAATACTTTTTCCCATGGCACCCATTTTGTATCTGTATGTCTGATCGTCTATCTGAAACTCCCTTTCCGATGCAGTGGGATACAGCCAAAAAGAATACAGCTTGAACATTTTTTAGGGTGGAGACATATGTGGACGACAAAGCATGTGATCTAGTTTGTTTGGGACAGATTGAGACTGGCACAAAAATCTGGATCAGGTTCGGACAACACAACAGCAACTCGTAAAAACACAAGGTGTTGGGACGGAACATTGGCATCACACACGACAACTGATATCGTCGCTGTAATCACATAAAGTGTGAATGCCACATAGTATTTAATGATACAAAATCTTTATGTTCAGCTGTTCTGTGCAATAGGGAAACTTGAAAATCACACCTGATGTAATCTTATCCTCGTTTGATACAGTGTAATACCTATTGTCAGGAGAGTAATCAGGTTAAAGGCACTCTGCAGAGGTTTTACCACACAGCTATGGAGCAGCAGTTTTCAAAGGTGTGTTTTGTTAGTATCTTGGGCATACAGGTTACATGCTACACATTCCCAGTAATGCTTTCAGACTGTTTCAGTATTGGACAGCTGGTGACAGTAAAGCCCCAAGCGCTTACAGCTAAAGAGTCGTTTGAATTTTTTGAGGGAGGCAATGCATTTATCATGTTTGTTAAGCCTCAAGGACGCACATAAGGCACAAAAGCCGGATCTAACAGTGTAACTCATGGGATACATACAAGATATTAATCGTTTTCTGCTTTGGCTTCATCTAATAGCTACCTGCTTCACAGTATGATCAGTCTGTTTCTTTTGTGTTCTTGTAATGCCGTTCCCAGAAGAAGTAATCACAATGATGTCAAGTCAAAATGGCCGCCATGGGAAAAAAGGGGTCACTTCAGAGTTCTTTTTCTGCACACATACTACCGCTAACACAAGGAAACAGAGCGCAAACAATATTTGCTATTGCGTAGCATCTTCAACATCTTCCGCCTCTCCACGAGCCTCATCACAGTCAACTTTTTTTTTTTTTTTTACCGGAACAAAGTGCTGAGATTTCATCTTTTTCCACTGAAGAAAATCCCTTTCAGATGAACAGAGAAAGCACATGCTGTGCATTTTGAAGCTTAAACTGCAGTGGAACTGATTTAGCTAGCATCAAATTTTTTTTACATCAAGTGCGGTGAGTGCTTATCTGATGTTCCATATTTGGCACTATGTTCAAACTTCTGAACTTTTAACTCTTCTTTTGAACTTAAATTGCTTTTGCGTGAACCGCCCCAGCCCTTTACACAGAAGCTGATGGGTGGTTCACTGAGAGTTTCGCCATCCCCACTTTGAAAACTCCTCCAGGCTCCAGTCACTAGGCATTGGAATTAATTAAAAGCTAGTCAAAACAAAAACAGAAACAATTCTTTAATATTAGGCTATTTACACTATAAAAAGTCACAGGCTGTAGACAGAAATGTTTAGATGCCTTGTTTTTTTTTTTCTCACTGCAAAAAGGATCCAAATCTGAATAAGGCAACTTTGTACATTACGTGAGGAGGAAGTGGATAGACCTACACGCAGCAACAAATGATCTGTCATATGATGTAAACAGTAGTTACATGCAGTAACTCCAATTCCATGACTACCTTACTTCGCAATGGACTTTCTTAGATAACAGTGAAGCCTTTAAAATACATATACCAAGTGGGTCAAACTGTGATTAAGCCTGTTTAGATAGTTCACTGACCCTGAATTATTAATGTATGTAACATTATTATACTAATCACTCATTATGACACCCTCATAGCAAAATGAAAACGTAATAAATTAAATAAAAATGTCACATTTTGTAGGATTAATTAGTCTCTATCAACATTAGATGATTAAACTTTCAGGTTCTATGAGCTGACAACCGTGTGTGAATCATTTCCACGCCATCACAACATTTACCAAGGCATTCAGTCGCCACAAGGCTATGACGAGGAGTCTGGGGAATATCGTTAAATGTTGCTCATTCACTAGATCTCTGTTCCTTGTTTTTGTGAAGGGTTGTTCAAGTTTAGATCTAATTAACCAAAGTAAATGCTGACAGAAAATCAGTTTTCTGTCCAAAAAAATAAAAAAGGAAAACTGCTGCATTTCATAACAAGTAAGGAAATGAGATATTCCTGATTACAATTCACATCTTTCATTCACAGAAAAAAAATTATTACAATAAAAATAAAAAATAAAAGGGTATGTGTCACAGCATTCTCTGGTTCACTTGAAGTTTAGCTGCACAAAATACTCAATGTTCAGGCTCTTTGTTTAAAATCAGGCTGCAGGTTACTTACTCGTCATTGTCCCAAATGTTAACGAGTCGTAAAGTAATCCACCTGAAACCCAGTTTAATGTCCACTAGCTAAACCTCTGTGAACTCAGAGTAGCTTGACACATACTCACAGATGCCCGGTTGAGTTTCTCTCACCAACACAATAAGATCAACTCCTTTTTGTGTTGTTTTCCGCCCCCCCACACCGTTTACGTCTGGATCTGGGCAAAACGATACAACCGCAGCTTCAGCCCACAGATAACTGAAACTAACATCGCTAGTGGCGTCAAAACAACAAATTACTATGTACACATACATTTGTCAAAATTCCATAATTGGCTAGAGAATAAAAACCACATTCAGCGTAGAAGGACTATAAATCTCAGCTTCTGCAGCACAAACTACAGGATCAACATGACATGCTACACAACAGTCTGCCCTGTAGCATGGCTGTGAGTGTGTGTTTGTGTGTGTGTGCGGGTGTATGTGCGTTTTGTGTGTGTGAGGGTGCACATGTAGGTGGGTGACCTTTGTGTGTGTTACACTGCATTCTCTTCAGTTGGAGGCTCAGCACTGGGCGGCTCCAAGAGAGTCTGCTGGACTGGAGAGACAAAAGGACACAAATCACCTCTATCAGACATTTTAAAAATGTATTTACTGCATAAAGTTTGCATATTTCTAATTGTGGATCTTTGAAAAGACGTTCTAAAAACAATATAGTGCATAGGTGTCAAACTCAGGCCCATGGGCAAAATCTGGCCCACAATGTAATTACATTTGGCCCACGAGATCATTTTAAATGCCTCCTAGAGCTGGCCTGCCGGCATATAGTGCATGCACCGCTGATACTACACATCCCAGAATGCTCTGCTAGTGTGTTGGCACGTCAACGAAGACTCGCAAGTGTCCCTTCCTCAGAAAAAAATAAGTAAAAATAATTTTCTCTTTATCATTAAGTGCATTTTTTATTTTTTTTTAAAATTTTGGTTGTTTTATTGTTGGCCTGTGAAAAAAGGTTTCAACTGAAAATTAACTCAAAAGGTTACAGATAGAGAGAGGCATAAAAATTGGTATTTTATTCAATTAAAAAAAGAAATGAATACCACTGATGTAGCTCTTGTTTGAAATTTGATTTCTCATGTGTTCATAATTTTAAGCTTTGCTTGTTCCAGATTCAACATTTAAGCAAAACTTAAGTTTGTTTCAATATGAAAAAGTTTATTATATATCTACAGAGAAAGGAAAACATGCACAACTGTAGTCAATCTTTCAATAAATGTCGCGTCTGGCCCGCAACTTAGTCCCAGTTTTTTATTTTGGCCTCGTGTTTATTTAAGTTTGACACCCATGACCTAGTGACAGGTTAAGAAGTGCAGACACAGCAAGGCACAAAAATGAAAGCAACAAAAGGAGAAGCCACAAAATTTATAGAAAACATTCCAAACAAACTCACTAACCAAGAGGACAGAGACGGAGTTCTGTGTGGATCTCAAGACCAAATCAATCTCCATAATGTTGTAATTTAATAAATGTTCTTAGGAGCATTTTTACAAGTGTGTGGACTATATTTTTCCAGAGATCCGTCCCACTGATGCCCATCATCTGATAGCCACCATCGAAAACTCCGACCTCTGATCAGCCTTGTCCACATATTAGTTAAAAGCAAGTGTTTTTTTTTTTTTTTTTAATGGTTAAGAATGGAAATGCATGTCAAGTAGATGTGAGTGGAGTGCAGCAGCATTGTGTGTACCTTGTGGTTCTGTCGCCACCACTGCGTCGGGGTTCTCAGCCTTCACCATGTCAGTGTTCAGGCTCTCTGTCACAACACAGCACAACAGTTACTGAGTATCAACCAATTAGAAGCACAAGCATAACCTTAACTTGAAAGATATTTGATATGTCCTTCTAAAATTTCATAGATATCTCCATTTTATGATATAACTGTTCATGCAAATCAGAGATGGTCAAGCAAAAGGCCCCTGATGATTTGAGACTGAATGATCCAATTATTAACCTGTTCTCACTATCTCTGCTGTAAATACCTATAATACAGTGTTCTACTTGTTTTTCCAATGTTACGTTTTTGTATAATTAATATAGTTATCACCAAATGACAAAGAAAGCAGTGTTTGCAGCAAATATTCATGTAAATCACAATTAAAAACCAGCTTTATTAATTATAAGGAAAGTTTTCATTAAATCAGCTGATAAATCCAGGACCTGTACAATAAAGCTTTACTAGATTTACTGACAGCTAGCACTACACAATCCAGCTATCCTGACTCAAGTGTTTCTACAGATTAAGAGGCGGCATCTTACTCATATTCCACATAAAGACGTCCAAACGATCAAGTGTTGGTCCGGTCAGTTTTAATTTGTAGTATATGTGCTAGCAGCAGTGGTCACACATTGCTGATGGTGGCCCCTCTAAAATACATGACTGCAGTGTAAAATCCTTACGCTGTATACCGAAGCACAGCTTCTTCTTCTGGTAGGAGATGTAGCTGCTGATCGCACCCACCAGTGCCATGGCAACCGCACTAGCAATCCCTGCAATGGTGCCCACCTCTGCTGTGGTCTCTGAAAATGCACACACATAAACAGATCCATATACACGTTATGCTCAGACAGCCACACAAACAGACATGAATTTATTAAAAAAAACTGCAGAGGCACAGAAAACCCACCACCATTGTCGTCATACTGGTTAATCTGATCTTCGCCACTTTGTCGCCCCCCTGTGGAAATAAGAGTGTTCACAACTGATCCTTTCCGCAGTAATAGAGTTAGATACTTTACATGTATTATTTGTAAGGGTTTACATAGTACCTTTGCCTTTGTCGGGTTTGTAGGAGTCATCTTTACTCACATCAATGAGATCGCGGTCAGAAAATCCACCTAGGAGGAGGCACAGATCACACCGAAGACGTGGACTGATATTAGCCAATATATTGTCCTGACCCACAGAATCAAGATCACTGCAGATATGTAGGACTAATGGACTAAAGAAATTCCAAATTAAAAACATTAACTCAGGAGAAAATGTGGGAAAACGACTAAAGACATGCAGCGATTGAATCAAATTTCTAAAAACTATAAAACCATTTTTTTCGTCTTTAGCCAGTCAACTAAAAAAATAAATAAAAACCCTAGCACAAATAACATGTGAAGCAGAAGACAGTGTTTCTCTGTCAGCAGGGCAAGGAGTGGGGGGAGGCTGTGTGGTGATGAGCATGAGCGGAAAACAATGAACTCCCTCTCTTTAGGAGAATTGACTTGAGAGAGTGTCATTTACTGCAATTCTTCTGTAGCACTTCATCTAACACACTGCTGGAGACAATAACACAGTCTTTCAGTCTTCTTACTGATGCTGTCTTTCCACTCTGCACAGCAGTTTGGTGTAGTTTCACACGATATATGTGCAAATATGCAGACAACTGTTCTATTATATACAGACAATGTACAGTTCTGTATGTGCTGTGGCTGTGGAGGTTTTGCAGTAATGTCAGAACAAGAATCTTACAAGTCTTTTTTCAGGTTTTTGAAAACGTCTCGCCCATTGCATCCTTTACTTTTCTATTTAAAAACTGATTTCAGTAAAAATCTTTTTTTTTTTTTCAATAACAATATGTATTTTGTTTTTATACACTAGGAGGCACACCATGAACAAAATAAGCAGCCATGGCTGAGTACCTCTACCTTGAAGATGCAGTATATTGAGGTTTTATACAAAACAAATTTAAGGAATCAATCGTGTCAGTTGTACATCATTATTCTTCTTTCAAATCTAGTTCAAACATGTATGGTTCAGTTTTTTCCAATCTCACAACCCTGTTTTATGGTGTTTGAGCTGAGTCGTATGTGCGTTGGTATGGTCCACCTGCAGTGAATGGGGAGGGGTAGATGGAGAGAAAGGAAGGGATTTTATAGATCTTTAATATCTAACTTTGATAAACATATTAGTTTTTAGGGAACAGACTTTAGTGGGAAAATTCATAAAATGACACTAAATTCAGCTGGGTGGTCAAGTCTCATGATGAGGCTTAGTTGGGAAACAATATCTCAGATGGTGGAGTTGGATTATTTTAATTAAGAATTGTAAGAAATCCTAATCCTAAACCAACAGATGGCTTGGTAGACTTGGGGTACAGTATATACGTACAACATATAATGGTGAGAGTTTTGTAGACTGATACCAAAACCCACAGACAAATTGTGCATCAACAATAAATCAGAAATGTTGATTTATCACTAATTAAAGGCCCTATGTGCAGAATATTAATGTGATTCGAGTCTCTAATCATTAAATAATATGTATTTGTTGGGCTGCGCTACTGTCTGTGTTTTTTCAAATTCTGCACACGGGGCTTTAATTCCATCGAATATCCTTATTAAGCCATCAGACTTAATGAAGAGTGATGATTTACTCATTTTATGAATCCTATGGGAGACACTCCCACCCACCTCCCTGCCCCTTGTTCTTATCCTTGCCACCAATGTCATTGTTGGGGTCCAAGGCATCACTCAGGTCAAAGTCATCAGCAGCTGTAGGGGTCAAAAGGGTCTATGATCAATGGTACTGCAAAATGAAGGCAAAATCGGGAGTTAAAAAAACAAACATTCGAGCATACAGAAAGGGTAACAACAACTGAGAAAAACAAATGAAGCAGGTTTATTTGAAGTCCCAGTACTGCACTAATGTCACCTTATTTCTGTGATATCATAAAATTAAAGAGTCTTCTGCTCATGATTACTTTACTCTATGTTGTATTTGGTAAACTGTTTAAGTTCCAAATCCCATGTTCAAACTAAGCTATGTCTGGACTTAACTTCCTGACAGTAAAAACTCAAAATTATGAGTCAGATTTGTAAGGGGTGCAGTGAATGTTATTCCATAGATCTCCCTGTAATGTCAATCCAAATGGCTAATAAATCACAGCTGTTAAATTGTACTACATCCTGACTCTGATAAGTAAAGAAAAAGTTGTGAAAAAAATGAGCCGGATCAGAAAACAAGTGTCTACAACATAAATGAGGTCAAATTAGAGATGGAGACCACATTTTAAAAGTAACACTGCATCAAACCTGGTTCTCTGTGGTGCAGGCCTCAGGAGGATGGCAGGTAACAAACCTAGAGGGGGCTGCATTCTCTCACCTGGTTTGGGTTTGGGCTTGGCTGGGGCCTTGGTGCTTGAGGGGACCTTAGGCACAACCTTGGGTGGGGCTTTGGTGGTGGTTGTGGCATCAAAAAAATCATCAAGACTAAGCTCTGCAGAGAACAGAGACACTGTTAAAGGCTTTCTTGTTTAAACATCTAATTTTTTGAAAGATCTTGATTCTGACTCAGTTTGCTGAGCTACAAACATAGAAGTTAATATTTCCCTAAAATCTAGTCTAAAACATCTCATGCTGCAATGGAAGGAGAACACAAATGTACTCCACTTTTTTGGATGTATGGCTTTGAAAAGATGATGGAGAATACTTGCGCACCTCAATCTTTAAAAAGCAACTGATCAAAGAAACTGTGTTGCCTGCAGACAGTTTTCCTCCCCCGTGTCTCATTAAAAACATCGCCTTCGGACAATTCCAGAAATTGAGATGCACAAGTGGTTCTGATCAGAATTTCAAAAACCCCTCTACTGACATGCAGACACCGTTTTACACAGAGAGGATATCAATCCCACATTCTCAGTCAACTGATTGCAATAACTAAGATTAATGTAAAAGCTGACACTAACTATAGAATAAATCTGTTCTATCAACAGTTTAATTTATATCTATGCCCGAAATGACAAAAGTTACCCTGGTTTCTCACCTTCTACATATATAGTCATTACCTGCATTGCAAATTAGGGATTTTGGGGGTTAGTTTGGTTCATGGGCATCACACAATTAACACAATTACCTAATTAAAAATACTACATAATGATCTTGCTGTTGCTCAAGTGCATTTACATTTGTGGATTTATCTAAGTGTCTGTTGTTGATCTAAATGTTTTGTTGCATTCCATGGATTTTATCCTCTTTCCTCAGCTAGGAAAGTGTTTTTTTAACAGCCTGTGGGAAGGCCTTGGCTGTTTATTTCCTATGTTGTATTTGTTGTGTGAAGCCCCCAGAGGCCAGAGAGAGAAAATGGTGCAAGCACTAATTGTAGCTCACCAGTGATTACTGCAACTAGAACTACTCTGTTTCTTTTTGTCTCCACGCACATTGGTCTGTTTTTAATGTAACTCACTGAAAACGTCTTTTACCTTTTAAACACACCTTGAGCACCTTCATCTGGATTTCTTATAAAATTTTTATTTTATTGTTGTTTTAATTTTTCCACTCTCCTAATTTAGTCATAACTTCCAGGAGAACCTGAGGTCTGAAAGACACCAGCAGCACTCCTGTAACTTCCCTTTGTTTTGCAGGTTACAGAACACACTTTAAATGGTCGTTGCAACAGCAGCTGTCATGTAGTTCCTACCTTTTCCTGGTCCTCCTGCTGGCCCTGCTGGTGCTGCTGGTTTTGGTGTAGCAACCGTTGCTGTAGAATGACAGAAGAATTACATAAAGGTAATTATTTTTATTGGTATCATTGTTATAAATGATTAGGTGATAATAACATGCACATTACAATAAGTGCTTTGAGATAGAGAATAGAATAGAACTTTATTTATCCCTTTGGTGGAAACCTCAGACTACATAGGAGGAGTTAGATGTCAGTAAAACTGGGAGTGTATCCCTATAAATGACTAAAATCACAGAGCACAATACTGAAAGTCTCTGTTCTTTTTTTTTCTTCTTTTTTAAGAAACACAATCATTCGTATGATCTGTTGACTCTGCTGTCCTGACTTTAACTGGCAGCTCAATCCACCGCTATTGATCCAAAAACAGACAAGTCTGACTACGAGTAGCGACCACAGAGGGTGTACGATTGAACTGTGGCTGAGGCTGCTGTTCCGTAGCAGCAGACATTTGATCTGGATGTGAGCAACAAGGAGCCACTGTGTTGAACAGAGAAGGCAAAGCGGTGCGGAAAGCCGAAGGGCTGCGGCGTTCTAGATCAGCTGCAGAGGTCATGTCAAAGGAGTGGCCCGTCAAACACAGAGTGCAGAGCCTGTGACATGTCGTCCTTTAAGGGTGGAGAGAGCATCAGCTGGTTCACGATGTCAAATGCAGCAGACAGGTTTAGGAGTATGAGGACCGAGGAGGGGGGAGTTCACTCTCTTTCAGTATGATGGAGTTGGCGTGACTCCGAGTCTGCAGTGCATCATTAATATTCCCACAGCAGTTTTTTTTATTTTTATGACAATAATGCAACATTTGCAAATTACACATAAAGTTTAATTGCAGGCTGAGAGGGCCTCATGCTCTAGGCCCTGATAATGTGACGATGTCAGGTTTAAAGGGCTGACCTAAGATCAACAGAGACTTCTTCAATGTGACTATTACGTGTTTATTCAGACTTAAGACCAGAATGTTAAGTCACCTTTAAATTAACATAAAAAGATGCATATCTCAAGTTCACCTTGTGTGTGGACTGTGGGAGTAAAAAAGGTGAGCGGTGTTTCACTGTACTTACGTGATGTGCCATCATCCACAGCATCCCCCAGGTTGAAGTCCCCCTGGGTCAGAACTACAAAGCAGAGAGGTGCACACTCTATCAGTTCAAATGCATCTCTGATTAAAGCATTGACTAATATGACTATTTTAGTTGTCAGTTCCCCAGGCCCAGCTGGTGTTACACTGCGACACATAGAGACAAAAGCCTGGCTCCGGGGTCAAACTGTGCCCACAGCTCTCTAATCCTCCTCTCTATTTGTTTGTCCGGACTGCAGTGCACAGATTATTAAGCAGAAAAGATACAGCCACAGAGGCAAACAAAAATGAGCTAACCTCAGTGGCTGTTGTTCCCAAACACACAAAAGGTGAGTGACAATGTAGCCTTTCTGCAGCTGCATTTAGTAACTGTCCACTTTTATATGTGCCTTCATGACTGATCTAATCCTAACTCTGAAATGTCACTTACACAATTTGTTTTGTACTAAACAGCATTGTAAACAAGTAGAAAATGAATTGATGACTTGTTATAAAATATCCTAATTTCATAGAAACAAAGGACTTGATAAATATCTACCAACCATACTCTATTATATTCCATTTATTTGCTATTCGTCCAATGGTCACATTAAATATTTAGCCGAATAATGAATAAATTTAATGCAGTGGTAAATTAAGGCAGAAAAAAACAAACACGAGAAAATAACAATTAAGCCCCAGCAAGCAAGTTACACCTAGCTACTTTATCCAGGGGTCCTTTTATCTTTTAAGCTTTTGTGAAATATTGACTCAACTGACCTCCAACAGTTATTGAATGAACCCAGCTGAGAGGCTCAGGGAGGAAATGTCTCTTCCATTTACAGACATCTGATACGCGACAAGGGGCTTCAAACAGTTCTGTTGTAAATGATCACGTGGAAAAGGGCAGGAAACTACTGATTTGATCTTTTACTGTGTCTTATGTGATTGACACATATTTTAATGTAATATCTTAGCCTAAAAAGCATCCAGTATTAAGTATTTCTTCCTGGAATGTAGAAGTATAAAGCTAAAGCAGCCAAATTGGTCATAAAAAGGATACTATATTAACTAGTGATTGCACAGAAAATACATAACTTATAGCACAGTCCTTACTGTTTACTGTCTTCTACTCTTGGGTCTCTGATTTGTCCTTTCATATCAAATTTTTGTGACTGCTGTTTCTTGTGTTGATGTGTTCTTATCTTAAAAGTTCCCTTTATCCCTCCTTCTCTGGCTTCCGATCCCTGCTGAGACCAATTTTAAACTGCTCCTCCTACTGATGTTTTTGTCATTTATCCAATATTTATTAGCTGACAGTACAGAAAGGAATTTTTGGGGAAAAGCCAGAGTGATGACATTTAACAAAGGCTACCAAGAAGAATCAGAGCAGAAACATTACAGTTATTGAGCGTTCTTGTCAACAGGGATGGCTGACATGTAATGCTACACGGGGTAGCTTTACCAAACCTTGTTGGCATGTTTGAACATGTGTAAAAAAATAATCTGCTCTGAAGAATAATTTGAGTGTGATTAGCCAGAATCTATGAACATCTAAGTTTAATTTAAGGTCCACCCTTTTAGCTTAGATTTCAGGTGAGCTCAACTTGTACTTAAACTCCATTTTCAGCAGGATTCAAGAATCATTCTGCTCAGTGAAGCTTAAACAGACAAAAACTAAAATAAATACAAAAATAGAACACATTTTGAGTAGATGGGCACTTTAAAGCCTAGCCTCATGCTGCCACAAATGTCCATGAATTGACGATAAGTCATCTGGGAGGAAAGTCTCTCTTTTTTTTCCCCATGAATTTTACATGTAACAGTAGGGATGATTTGAGGAAATTGTGATTTTTCTGACAGATGATACAAACTGATGTACGGATATCATCAGTCAAGCTTCATTTTCATATTCACTGTGAAACAAAACATTTAATGGAGCATTACCACATGATTAAATGTGTGACTGTCGCAAAAGTAAGGCAGCATGAATGTGTAAAACCACTGACATGACAGTTTCAGTCAGATGTGCTGCAATATGCACGAGGTGTGACAACACGCACGCTTGAACTAGTATACGGTACATGCTGGGGGTCAAGCATAAACAACACCTGGAAGTTCCAATCTGCAGAAGTCAAATAAAACTGAATTTTAACATCAGTGTCAATATCTAATGTATGATAAATTGCAGACTTGCATTATACCAATTGCACTGGTTTAAATTGCAATTTGGAATCAGTTCATTGCTTCACATCCCAGCTGTGTTCAGTCCGAAGAATGTCCTCAAGTTGAGCTACAGGAAGTGAACTTACTCGAACTCTGTAGTCATCTCTGCTGTAGGCTGCAGACTCCAAACCTACGTTAGCAGCCACTCGCATTAACGCGTTCAAATGTCTGAACAAACTGTTTTCTGGACAAGTTGTATTGCGCCTTCTGTGGGCACCAGGAAGACAAGGTATAATTTCTCTGATTTCAATCATTTTTAACTCTCCAGCATGCAATGCTTAATGCAAAGTACTCGTTTGCGGTTGGGCATATTCACTGTGTACATGTTTGTATATGTCTATATGTCTCCCAGGGAGACAGGATGCAGCCTTAAGTTGATTCTCATTCATCCTCCAAGCTCCCCCACCCATCAGTGCCAAAGACAAATAAAGAGATGCTTTCTTTAATTTATTCTCAATTGTGGTTTTAAAGACATATAAAAATATTTCCTTTTATCCTCTCATCAGTTGCTTTTAACTTTTAACGCTTAAGGGTGTCTGGTCCTTGTATACCGTACATGCACCCCCCCCCCCCCCCCCAGGGATTAGGTTGGAGGGCGGTGATCACACAGTATACTGACAAAAAGCTGCAGTACAGCAGCCTTGCTTCAGTTTCCAGAGATGCTCCCATGCCATGTGTGATGCAGAGGCAGCTACTGACCTTGTCTGGTCTGATGTGACTGATCCATATTAGGGACAGCTTCTCCAGTTTTACCTGCATTTCTCTAAGATACACTGATAGTGATTTTAAATTTGGGCTTTAGGGTATGGTCTCAGTGACAGATACCAAGATTATAAAAAATAAATAAATAACAAATAGGTACATCCACAGCAGTTATGCAAAGGACAGAACTATCCACATTATTGTTCAACATCAGAAACAGGAAACCTTTACCTAATACCAACTAATATTAACCCCACAGCTACTTTATATATATATATATATAAAACCCCTGAGCATTAGCATTTTCCATCTTAAACCCTCCCTCCAAGCATGCTGGGCAAAATGTCTTGCAATCATTTGCATTTGCATAATTAGTCTCACAGCGCTGCATTTACTAAAAATGTTGCTCATATTAGATGCAGATGATATATAAATGAAATCATCTGCCTTTCAATATATATATATATATCATTTGCCTTCCAATACTTAACATTCACACCCATCATCAATGAGAGTGACATCATTTCCAGCTTGGCACGTGTAGCTGTACCCCAGACAGAGATGACTGGGTGTTTCCACTCTGACCTCTCCATCACTCTATATCAAAAAAAAAAAATCAAACCTGCAGAAATATCTGTAATGACCCAGTCTGCTACAGCTGGTTAATCTCATGATCTGTTAAATCAGTGCACCGAGGGGACTCCGATAACCAAATCTAACTGTAATGATAAAATCTCAAACATGCGGATTTGTGCGCGTAATGGTTCTCTAAAAGGTTCATTATTAAGAAAGGATGGTTAAAGTGGGGCTTTTGCTCTCAGTCTCTATATACCGGTTGCTCCCAGGCCGGTGAACCGTTATTCGGCCTTCACCAAAGTGCGGCACAAAAGGCAGAACATGTGGGTTTTGCTGAGGTGTGCCGGACAAAGCCTTACCTTGCAGCGGCAGCAGCTGGAGCGCCAGCAGCAGATAGAGAGCGCACAGAGAGCGGTGAGCCATGACTCCTGCTCCACGGACACACACAGCCAGGATCAAGTGGATTTAAAGCCAGAAACAACGGGCCTGTCGCCGTTCAGCCTGTCTAAGACCTGCCCCTGTGAAAGCCGCAATCAAGGCGTTCACTATGGCACTCAGTGGCACTCCCACCCTGTGCCACTTCCTGCTACCTTTCAAAACAAAATCTTCTGCATCGTTTTTGCTGTTGACTAATTTAAAATCCTTTTCTGGTGGTTAATTTAACCGCTAAAACTCATCTGTGTGTATCAGATATTTACATTTTTTTTACCCTCATTAAAATAATCTACCTTAAAATGCCTTACATGTAACTGCAGCTTAAGCACACCAGCTCACCCCGGACTCTATTCACTCCCCACTATGCAAGTTCTCTTTCTCTATATATACACATCAATATATCAACATTGCATGACACTAACTATACATCTTCTCCCTCCTGTAGTTTGTGTTTGTCCTCTCTTTGACTGCGGAGCTTCACGTCTGATTGGCAGCTATTGACCTCATCGAACTCTGTGTTTGTTTGCTTCTATCTGCTCTCCTGTTTTTGCTCCCCAAACCCTAATCTCATCAACTCGAGGCTGCCGTCTCTGAGCCTGCTTTCATACTGATAAAGGGGAATATTTTCTTATCACTGTTGCCAAGTGCTTGCTTAGAGGGAATCCAAAGGAAACCTTGGATTTGTTGAGTTTCTGTGAATAATTTTGTAAGATCTACATTTTACCATGTGAAGTGCGTTGAGATGCTGTTCGAAAAGTATTGATGAACAGCACTTGAGTAAGTGTATTTACCTGTAGGTAGCTTGGATTGCCTAATAATGCCTAATGTTCCCTTGGAAAGGCTCTGATGGCAAAAGTGACATGCATGACCTCCCCTGTAAGTTCCATTGCAACCACAAAGTTCTAAAGATCATTAAACAAAGCGATCAAGATGAAATGAAATGAAAAATGAAAAATACTTTATTTATCCCAGAAGGGAAATTCAATAAAGAAGGGAAATTCAATAGAGTTCAAAAAGATGCTACATCATTGAAAAAAAGTACTGTATCAATAAATCAAAAGGTTATATAAATGTATGAGGAGGTACCAATGTATATATATATATGATATTGTGAACATGATACAAAAATACAGGCTGCAGTTGTTAGTGAATAAAAATAGATTTACCAAAGCATTACATATTGTAATCCTCCAAAAACAAGGTACCTGAAAAACTAGAAAAAAATCACCTAGAAATATGAACTAAACACGAGGCATGGGCATATAGATTATTTGTTCCCACCCACTGAATATGACCCAGAGGAGTATTTCTTGAACCAGTGCACCTACCAGTAAAATAATATAGGTGTTGTATACAAAATACTACACATTGCACAAGGACTGTGTCATCAGGTCTAAGCACAAAAACTATTTGAGATCAGAGTTAGGGCTAAAACAATGGACCTTTTATGTTTATCAGTTGTCACTGATCAAATACACATTTCTAATAACTACTTTTGGTGATTTTTGATTGTATGGCAGTAAGTTAATAATTAGTTAACTTCTTGCTATGTACCCTTTAACACAGACTTTTTCTTTTATGTTTTCCCCGAAGTAGCTTTAAGGTTATTCGAATTTTTAATTCATCATTTACTGGAAGTTTCAGTGGATTTTAACTCCTAATTAAATCTACTTGATGGTTACACAGCACATGCTTGTAATGACCAACCCACCAGGATGAAATGTGATACTATTCACATGCACATGATTCCGATATTTTTTTTTTCTCTCAAAGTCTATTTCCATATTAGTGTTTCAGTTTCTCTTAGTTTATCTCTTTTTAATGGGGTGGATTTGTATTTCATGTCAAGTCAATGTCACAGAGCCACCCAACTTTATGTTTTTTAAATTTGATAATCATTCAAGGCCCATATACATGATGAAGAAATCCGAACTATGAAAGAAGGAGGGTCCTAATTTTGATTCTTTCCTAAATGTCATGAAAGTTTAAAAAATTCATAGAGATACTTCAAAATACTGTATCTTAATTTTAGTCATGGAGACCGATGTATAGTTTGTGCACAAGCTGTTGCCAGATGTGACAAAATTTTTGGAGGAAGACTTGTGTGAGATACAGCCACTCAAAAAAAAGAGGAAAAAATCACATTGTGACTGATCTTATGCGTTTAGTTTTTTTCTTTTTTCTTTAAAACTTTAATCATCAACTGCTGAAAAGATACAAAAAAAAAACACCTTAAACAATAGAACAAATATTTGTTCTATTTCTTTAACTTTTATCTTATTTTTCTACTGGAAAGAACTTTGACTCAACAACACAACTGTTGGTTTAAAATTAAATAGTTATTTATAACAAACTTGTTTAGATAACTGAAGTTTTAAGGCCACAGGATGTTAGGACAACCACTGTGGCTCTCATTATTGCTTCAACTGATTTTTAGTTGGTCACTGATCCTCCTGTATCTTCCATCCATCCATTATCTATACACTGCCTAATCTTCACGAGGGTTGCGGGGGACTGGAGCCTGTCCCAGCTGACTTAGGGTGAAGTCAGGGGACACCCTGGACAGGTTGCCAGTCTATCACAGGGCTACACTTGGAGACAGACAACTAAGTACGCTCACATTCACACCTACGGACAATTTCGAGTCACCAATCAACCTCAACATGTTTTTGGACCTTGTGGGAGGAAGCCAGAGAACCCAGAGATAACCCATGCTGCACGGGGAGAACATGCAAACTCCACTTAGAAAGATCCCGGTGTCCTCACACGGACCCAAACAGGTGACCTTCTTGCTGCGAGGCAACCACCGTGCTAACCACCGCTCCACCTTGCAGCTCCTCCTGTATCTTGTTTCTTGTTGGATTTTATTGCATTAACTTCCCACTGAGGGGGCTGTATTTTTAATATAGGGGCAAATACCCTACCCGTCAACTTAGAAGTGATGCAGTAACCACAAAGTGATACAAGACAATCAAGTGATATGGCGTAGGGGTCTAATCCACCTCTGTTTTATACTGTACGTACTTTTGCTTCCGTAGGATTTTATATGTAATATTTTCATTTGTAATGGAGGAGTTTGACATTGGGATATTGGTGCTTTTACTTTAGTAAAGGATCTTAGTATTTCTTCCACCATAGGTCAGAAACTAATCTAGATCTACAAGTGGCTATGTAGTAATTGCACTTACCATCACCATTTATTTTTCAGTAATAGAAGTACTTTTACACTGTAGTGTTGTGATTTGTAGTAGTACTGAAGGTGTTTGGGTGACTGTGGTGTCCATCATCTAGTGTGGGAGTGGTTTTTGTCCTAAAGCTGCGGAAACAGGCTGGATGATCCCAAAAAGCAGCAGCAGAGACCCTGAAGCAGCCCAGACATCAGCGCGGATCTAGAAACACTGGAGAGAAGAGATGGGCGACACAACGGGGACCAGGTAGGACATTTATCCACATAGACTGAGTCATGTATGCTGCAAAAAAGGAAAAAAAAAGAAAAGAAAGAAAAAAAAGAAAAGAAAAATGGACGTGCACTCCGTTAAGTCGACAGGGGAAAAGGGGAACCATCCAAGCTCATTTAAAACCGGATGTACACAGGAAAACACTGAGCAGATACAGAGATGACATATCAGCTTAAATAATGCAAGTTTACATGTGACAACACACGGAGCAGCGCTGACATATAACAACCTGACGATCAGCTGATTTCTCCTCAGTGGATTTTAGATCACTGACATTGTTTTTCTTTTGGAATATCGAACCGATGTCGGATTCTAGAAAGTCTCATGATGCCAGGCTGCGATCATGAAATGTGACCACTTCGGAAAGAAGTCCAGCTGACTTCCTCATAAGTGAAAACGCATGGGTGGTGTTGGGAAATGTAAGAATGCAGCCACAGTTTGACCTCTCAGCAAGAAATCAGTTTAAATTACGACCAGGATTTGTTCGAATATCTATTTGGCAGTATGAAAAATAAAAACTCACTGTGCAGGTGTTTGACAGGGAGAAAATACTCTGCAAGAGTCCTGCTCGATTTGAACCACTTTTCTAACTCGACTCATCCTGAAGGACCCGGTGTTGCATTCAGGGGCAGCTGATTGTAACTTTCTGTTCTGTTTCCAGTTGCTTCATTCTGTTTTTAATAAAATTCTTAAAGTCTGACAGAACCGCAAGAAAGTGGTGATGACGCGAGAGAATTTGTTTTTACCACCAGGAGTCGCCAAAGACAAATAATCAAATTACATTGAAGGAGAGATTCTCTATTATTTCAAGTGAAGCACATTTGTATTCCTACTACATTTGATGATGGCTCACTGGAAAGTGCAGACATGAAATACGATGTACACTTTACAAACCAAGGCATGTTAATATTAGTTTTTGTATAACATTTTCATACATCCATTAGCCTGACAGGTGTTGTCTGCCTGACACTATTCATTTTAAGCTGATGCTGACATTTTAATTGAAAAGCTGTTGTCAGCTGATTCTGATGATCGAGTCATTGTTTTACAGAGTTATTAATTATTGACATGACTTAACTGAGAGCCATGAGAGACTACATGTTGGTCATGGATCAGTCAGAGCTTGCCGTCTTTTACAACTTGTGCAATGTCTTTGGGAAGGAGTAAACAAATCTAAACAAAAAAATGCGTCCCAAGCAGTGTGTATGAGATACGGACCTAAGCATGGATGTATTAAAGTCTCTCTACAGTCATTGATTAAATTCCCCAACATTCATCTAAAGTTGCAGATTTTTTTTTCCATAAAAATGATCACTTTCTACCAAGAACAACAAGTTTACAGCAGCCAGTTTTGTGAAACTGTATATTAGAATGCAAGAGGGTGAACAGCGTTTAAACCATATTACAGGTGAGTTTGGCAAACGTCAGTAATTCCATACTTTGCTCAGTTTATCAAACAGGTTTCACTGGGAGGTTTTTTTGTCATCACTTTTTTCCCCCCCTTTAGGATAAGGGGTTGACAGGACGAGGTTCACGTGTCCTGTGTTAAGGAAGTAAAGGACATTGTGGTGACTATCAGGATGAGCACTTTGTTTTTTTTGTCCTTGTTTTCTTTCCTCAGAATGTAAAAGGCAGCACATTCCTGCACAGCCACATGCTTAGATCTTAAAACTGCAGCGATGTGCATAAATTTGGCAAAGCTGACTTGGCCTGCATGGTCTTGATAGCAGCTCGGCCTATAGGCCTGCAAATTCACAACATTTTCTACTGTAATTTAGATTATGAAGACACAGTTTTCATTCTGTGCTGATGTTTACATGAACCCTGAAGGTTGGCCGATAAATAACAATGCTATGTCGCACACTATTTGCTGGTGTACAAATAATTGGCACACACTGGCCACATTTCCTGTAATACTTATCGTTCACTTCCTGTTGAGCTCCAGCAAAAACACTTTTTTTTTCTCTGCTCTGCTGTTTCTGTCGGGCTTTAACTACCTTAATTCTGAGCAATGGGTCTCCCTATGGACTACATCATATAGATTGCACAAGAAAAACAAACAAGAACATTTGGAGAAGATTTATGAACCACACCTACTGCCTGCTGTGGCGAGTTAGCTGTATGGAACAAAACATGAGGAGGTTTAAATAGCCCTTCCCAAACTCTAAAAAAGCTAGACAAGCCAAGTCATTTGACCTGAATAGTGGGGGTGTTTTTCCGGTTAATCCCCCTGCAAACACTGTACAATGACAGGAGAGAACAAATGACTCCATAAGTCCTGATTTGCTCTGTACCTTGAAAATGATAATAGGAGGCGGGTGAGAGTCAAATCACCCTTCCAGAATATGCTGAAAAGTAGATTGAAAAACACAGACTGGTAAATGAGGTTTCTGTTAAGCATTGGAAATGAATCAAAGCCTGTTTACAAGATGGATGGACGACTATAGATCTGAAGGAACAAAAGTGATGCAGTGTTTCCCAGAGCGCAAATCTATGGACTCATCTTTTCAAACTCTGCATGCACCCACAATGTTGCAAAACAATATCTATACTATACAAATATATGCAGACAACACCTAAATGTACGTATATAATATGCAATTGTGAACAAAAGTTCATATACACCTGTAAAGACCATAGCTATCATTGCAGTCTTTAGTTTCCAGTGACTTCCACAGCTCTTAATTTTCTTCGGTAAATGACTGAAACTCATTGGGACACCCAGCTTTGTCCACCTTTGTGGTTGACGATTTTAGGTTTTCTTGAAGAATGTGGAGGTAATCCTCGTTTTTCATTATTCCATTACCTTATGGAAAGCATCAGTTCCACTTGCAGCAAAACAGCTGCCAGAGTAGAATACTAGCTAATAGATTATTTTTTATGTCTGACCACAGAACTTTCCTCCAGAAGGCCTTTTCTTTGTTGATCAGCAGCAAGCTTCAGTTGACCTTTGAGGTGCGGTTTCTGAAAAAAAGAGCTTTTCTCTTGCACGGTAGCCTTTTAGCCCTTGGTGATGCTTTTTGATAATTCTTCGTTGACCATCCTGACCAATTGTTTCCCAGTAGCAGGTGGTAGCTTGTGTTGTCTTCCTAATTGTGGCAGTGAAACTATTGTGTCATACACCTTATATTTACGAACAACTGTTTGCACAATTGATTTTGGGACCTGTAGCGTCTTTGGAATTGCTCCAGTGAACTTTCCTGACTTGTTCAAATCAATAATTGCCTTCTTTCGATCCCTACTCAGCTGCTTAGATGTTCCCATTCCAGGCTTTGTTATAGAGTCTAATATGTGTATCAAATGGGCCCTATTTAAATTGCCTCAGAGGAGTCAGTATGTAGTCAACTGTAATAACTCACAAAAAGATAAGCGGTCATGCCTTTAAGAAAATTTGATTAACACAACGTTCTACGTCACCAAAACTGATCATTAAAGTACCAAGGATGGACAAAGCATGCTTTGGTGCTTGAACAAGTTTGATCTACTGTGGCTCCAATGAGGTGTTTTAAGGTTTCTCCAGCTAAGGTTTTGGTGCCTAATATCACACGTCACCTAAAACAATTTTGTATAGTCAGTGGTTAGGAGCTGTTTTGGCATCAGGTAAAAGACCCGAAGCATATTTGGCAGCATTTGAAAAGCACTACCATCTACCAAGCACCTGCTTTGCCTCTATAGAACAGGTGTTATTATCACTCCCAATAATCCATTTCACCTACACTCACCAACTAGAGCTATTTTTGTTTATTTTTGTTGCTTTTTTAAATGTTTAGTCACTTTTTTTAATCAATTATGATCAATTGCTTTTATGTCTGAATGATCCCCTGCCCATATTCTTGCTTAGCTTCACAGCACAGACAGATGATCTGTAGCACTGTAAGAGGATCAGAGGGTTCAAACTTGTGATCATTTGTGTGACTAAACATTTGCGTTTTGTCTATGACAGCATATCTTTTCTAGGATTACAGATAGGTTTATTACTATTGTTTTTTGATAAGTGGTGGGGGTCTATTCCATTGCAGTTACTGTTGTTTCCCTCACAAGGATCAGTAATGTTCTATGCCTTGAACTTTAACCTAATCACACATGGTCATCAACAGGCCACACACATCACACAGTTGTTTACAGCTGAGACTTTTAAGAGAAAATGTCATCCAGAATCACGTTTGTGACACATTGTGAAACTCCAGGACAGTTTACTTGTAGTTTATGCTGACCTTCCTGTCCAGCAGTTCATTGTGCTTTCAGTTATTTCTGCTGCTTTCCAACTGCTCACTTTTTGTTTACACCAGTCTCAAGCATTGGCTCTCTGCTACTACAGGATGAGTATGTGTTTAAAAGGGGGACATATGGAATGATTACACAGTGCCAATGGTGTGTGTGTGTGTGTGTGTGTTGAACTGCTAATAAGATCCACAGTTATCACAGTCACAGCTTGTTGATATATAATAGACGCTCACATACAAGGCCTTAAAGAGCTCTTATTAAGCTTTTTGGATTTAACCGTATCCTTTATTGTGTAGACGTATTTTTGTGTGTGTAAAAAGCCTCAAAAGTTGCAAAAAGTAACCATTAAAGAGAATGGACTTAATTTCACTATATGCCAATCCACTGACTTCAGGCCAAATAAAACAACACAGCTGCTCTGCTGCTAGCTAGTACTGGGAAAAACCATTATTGCTTATTCTGTCAAGATAAAGTTATTAAAGGAGATCATGAAAAATCAACTTTTTGCTACTTAAATCAATCTGAATCACATAACAGCTGTGATTCCCTGTAATTTACCAAACAAATACATCTGACTGTGTAAAAGGTCAGACTGGCAACCCAAGCCTATGCATTTTTGGAACAAAAGTAAAATTGTTGTAAACATCCATGAATGTATACAACTGTGTGTAGCTCAAAGTGTGCACACATTTTAGGTTTCTAGACATTTTAAGACACAAGTACACATATCACACTTGCTGAAGCCTGGGTTACTGGTATAAAAGTGATAGACAATAAATTCAGTTCTGCTCACGCTGCTCTCTCTCTTCTTTCACAGAGTCTTTAAGAAATCCAGTCCTAACAGCAAGGTGGGATATGTGTGCCAATTTTTCTTTGACCATTTTATCATTTCCGTTTGTGCATTTTTAATCACTCCGTTTTTACTTCTGTCTGTAATTCTTTCCACAGCTCACAGTTTATCTAGGGAAGAGAGATTTTGTTGATCACCTAGACCATGTAGATCCAGTGGGTGAGTCTAGCCACACGCACATCACATTGACTTACATTAAAATCCTTGAACTTCACTCTAACCATAATCTAAATCTAAACCTAACCATTGACAAACATTACAGCATGTCTTTACCTTAAAATGTCCTGATTTCCAACAAAGGGGGCTGTATTATTCACTTTAATTGAGTATCTGAATTGAGATAAGCTTTGTTGGCCCTGCATTTTGTGTGTGTTTTTAAAAATATGTATATATGTGTGTGTGTGTGTATATATGTATATCTTGTTATCACTTTCATAGTGTTTTTTTTTTTTTAAATATGGGTTATACTGTGTATGTTTTCATGAGCAATCTCAAAAACACAGAACAACTTTGATTGTGTGACTTTTTGCATCTTTTTTCTTCTTCAGAACCACTTTTTGGTTCAAACATCTATAACTGAATTACTCCAGTCTTTCAACTTGCAATTGCGCAATTTAGAGCAGTTTCACATTGTTGAAGCCAAGTTGTAGGTGAGCTGGTGTGCTTTAGCTGCATCAAGCAGCAGAGGGTTTGTAGCAGAGAGTGGATTCATAGAGCTCTGCAGTCTCAAGCAAACAAGTCAAGATTTACATTTAATTCAGGGACTGCAGATATAAACAGATGTGTCCTCCTGCCTTAGAAGCTCATTATATATATATATGTGTGTGTGTGTGTGTGTGTGTGTGTGTGTATATATGTATATGTATATGTATATGTATATGTATATGTATATATATGTATTTAAATGCTAAAATATAATTATTATTGTTATCCATGAATTTTCAGACTTACTGTTTTACAAAAAAAAACGAAAAAATACTAAAGCACTTTAATAGTCCTCGATTAAGATGTCGAATTATCGTTATTTACTTGGATTCCTGAACAGAAAAATGTGTTTTAGTGGTTGAATGTTATGCTTGATTAATTTCTGACTTCTCAGAGAAGCCCAGTGAGCCGGCTCAAATTTGGAGATATAAAGTTGAGAGAATTCAGTTTGAAATTCTTCAATCCCTTTCAAAATGGTAAAAGTCGAGAGCTGACACACACACATACACACATATGTGTGTGTGTGTGTTATTGCTCTACATATATTGCAAGTATTTAATTTACTTTATTTTTTAAGCCTATAGACTGGCAACTGATTAACACTGGACCTGGTACAGACATGGTCCTAAAATGGCTAAAATTCATTTTTCACTCAAGTGCTAGCAGCTCACTTTATGTTGCCTGATTTGAATGGAAGTCTTATATCCTTGCGCTTCTGTCTATACCTGTGCACTGGCCAAAATCAATCCTCAGATGCAATTTGTTTAACTTTATGTGTGTGTTTGTGTGTGTTCCTCAGATGGAGTGCTCATTGTAGATCCAGAGTATCTGAAAGATCGAAAAGGTAGGAAGACCTGAAGACAGACATAAAGGAACAGACTGACTTAAGACCTTTTCAGACAAACTGGTGTCATCACTCTGTTAAAGTGAAAACATTCTGTCATTCAGACATATGTCACTATGACGTGACATTACTCCTCATGACTTTATTTGACGCATGTGCAACTGTGCTGAGAGAGTGTTATACATGTGTAATAACTGTCGTATATACGAGATTCTACAGCACATCAATTGACACAAGACTATATCTAAATCTGCTATGTAACAAATGACTTTACTATATCTGATTAAGGCGCAGAACAGTGTGAACTGCTGTTAGATCCTGATCTGTCCTGTTTCTGTGTTAAGGATAATTTAGTACAAGAAGTGAAAGAAATTACTGCTGTTGTCAAAACCTAGGTTACATTCTTTATTGGTGAGTCTTAATCTGACATGTTACAGAGTCTGTCTTGAGAGCAGTAACATTTTGTTTTTATAGTTTTTATTTCAGTTTGTGATAGATAGGGGATGTAGGAAAATGAAAAAGATGTCTTGTAATTTGGACAAGTAAAATTAAATGTGTCTTTTGCTCTCTGATGCTGCTGATGTCGAAACAATATCACACACAGCTCAACCTCTGATGCATGCGTATCTGTTAATTTTACAGCATTGCAGTTCAGACTTTTGCTGTTTTGAAAGTGATACAGAGATGCTACTTGGTCCAGTCTAGTAAGATTGCAGTGGCAACATTCACAGAACAGTGACCAGGCTAACAGGAAGCTGGCTCTCTAATATGCAATCAGATTAATGGAAAGCAGGGCATGTCTGATGGGGGCTTGATTTACTGACTGAGTTCAATCTTTGTCTTTGCCTCTCCTCAGTATTTGTGTCTCTGACTTGTGCATTTCGCTATGGTCGGGAGGACCTTGATGTCCTGGGCCTTTCCTTCCGGAAGGATCTGTATGTCAGTACAATCCAGGCCTTCCCTCCCCTGCAGGAGGAAAAGAAACCTCTGAGTCGCCTGCAGGAGAGGCTGCTGAAGAAGCTTGGTCAGCATGCCTACCCCTTCAACTTCACTGTAAGATCATCAAACAAAAACACAACCTCATCCTCACCCTGAGAGTACCAGAACCCAGAACAACAGTTCTCCATCTCACATGACCATAGATTAATTCTACTGTTCACACCTAATCAGGCTTTTTTTTTGGGGGGAAGACATAATATTTGCATAGATGGCACAACAAGAACAGGAAAAAGAGGAAGATGCACACCGGTGTATAGTACAGTCATCCTCAAATGAATTTATACCCTCCCATTACAGAAGGGGGGAAAAAAAGCTCTCACTGAAGTAAGTTGAAATTAACAAAAGTAACAATGCATGCATAATGTGAAAATATATGCGCTTGAGGATATTTGAAAGTTTGCATGTATATGTGCATTTCATGATGTGTGTATTTGAGTGTGAGAGTGTATTTATGTTTCTCCCTGAATAGATATGCACCAATTAGTGCCCAAGATGCAGGAATTCTATGCATCTGGTGATTAGGAAGGTGATTAAAGCCAACCAAGTAATGTGCAGGTCTCCCTCATTCCACCAAAACAGCTATGACCCATTGAGGCATGGACTCCAGAGATCTCTTTAGCAGCAGATCCTTTAAGTCCTGTAAGATATGAGCATCTCAGCAGAACATTGACCAGAGTATCACACTACCTCCGCCAGCGTACATTCTTTCCACAAAGCCTCCCGCTGCCACCTCTTCCCCAACTAAATGACACACACCCGGCCGTTCACATGAAAACATGATTCATCAGACCAGGCCACCTTATTATATTGCTCCATGGACCCGTTCCAACATTCATATGCCCATTTTAGGCATCTTTAGTGGTACTCAGAAGTCAGCACGGGCACTCTAGCTGGTCTGCACCTCCGCAGCCCCATAGGCAGTAAGCTGTCATGCTCTCTGTGTTCTGACACCTTTCTATACTAACAGCAGTAAGGTTTTTAAGTATTTATGCTGTAGAAGCTCTTGTATGGGTTTGGACCATACAGGCCAGCCACCTGCATGAGCCTTTGGCACCTATGACTCTGCTGAGTGTTAACCAGCTGTCCTTCCAGTTTTGCTCGGTAATAATTACTGCATACTGGAAACACCCCACAAGACCTATTGTTTTACTGATGTTCCAACCTAGTAGTCTTTGGATCATAGTTTGGTCCTCATCAAAGTGGCTCAGATTTTTACACAGCTCATTCTTCCAACGCATTGATTTCAAAGATCTGACTTTTAACTTTCTGCCCTAATAAAACCCACCCACTGACAGGTGCCATTTGTAACAGCATAATCAATGTTATTTACTTCACCAGTTTTAATGTGGCGGGTCGCTGTGTATGTGTACATCGTGTTTGTGTGTGTGTGCCTAGTGTGTATTGATCCAAGAAGCATGAAACAGCTGAAAAACCATGGCACTCATAGCAGTCTCAATTTTACTGCCATACGTTATAAACAGTTGCATATTTTTAGTGGTGGCTGCAATTTTTACCAGACAAATGTTAACAATGTCCACAGAATTGTTGATTTACTTTCACCTGCACCCACCAGCAAACAGGATAAAGGTTTCATGTTGAACATACAGTCCTGAACAAAAGGTTACATAGACCGTGCATAGCATTTTACTTTTTTTTTCGTAAATTTATTAAAAGCATTCTGAAAATATGACAAAAACTGCCTGGTCAAAATATACATACAGCAGCTTGAATGACCAATTTATGTGATGTAGAAATCTGTGTTAATCAAATTTTCTTCGTGGCATGGCCTTGTAACTTCTCGTGAGGGATTATGGTTGACTACAGCTGCTGACTTCTCTGAGCCAATTTAACTAGGGCCCGTTTGATACACTCATTAGACTGCCACCAACACTACATTGGGAAAGTCTGAAGAGAACAGCAAAAATCTGAAAAAGCAGCTACAGAATCAACTGTGCAAACAATTATTTGTAAGTATAAAGTGCATGTGTCACTGCCATGATCAGGAAGAAAACACAAGCTATTACCTCCTACTGAGAGACACCTGGTCAAGATAGTCATAGAGTCAACCAATAATCACCAAAAAGCAGGTCTGCAATGAATTAGAAGCTGTCAGTCAAGCGTGTGTTCTGTTGCAATGGAATGAGAGGCTGCCATTCAAGAAGGAAGCCCTTTCTCTAGACGGTTTGCTGCTGATCACAAGAAAATGCCGTCTTGACCAAAATTCTGTGGTCAAGAACTGAAGCTATGCCTTCCTATTTACTCCTAACAGAATTATTACAATGCAAACCAAACAGAAAAAAAAAACTAAGTGTGTTGTTTTCCTTTCTGTTTTTACATTCGGTTTGGAAGGACTTCACCCCTGTCCAGCATAATTCTGAAACATTGCTGCATCAGTGTTGCGTAACCACTGTGTTGATTTCCTTTTCCAGTCAACACATTGCTCCCAGCTCAGTATCGCAGTATTTCCAAAGCCTTCCCCGAATTGCTCGTTACTTGTGTGTGCCTGGTGTGATGTGTGGGGAGTGTCTGTTTTCGCATATAATGAGATAATAAGAGATAATGGCAATTGTGCAGGCCATGTTGTAGATAAAGTGAACCAAACTAATTCTGTCATTTGTCCAGATTCTGCTGTTGGGTTGTTTATTCCTGAAAATGGGGCACCAAGGGCTCACCCTGACCTGTTACTGGGGATCTTCTGCTGTTTCTTCAGAGTAAAAAAGACAGGGTGGTGACTTTTTTAGGCTACAAGAGAATTCCAGAGTCGACAGCGTTGAACATGCAGATATAACAGCTTAAGAGTCACTTGCAAGGAGGCTGTGTCTTGCTTTTGCTAAACACTGAACAGGGGGAATGTATATATTTAAGATTTAACAGAAGATATAAAGGCATTACGATTAGATGATCGTGGCATAGCAAGCACTTTGAAAATTCTAGGCAAGCATTCAGGTGGTTTACTTTCATGTGGAAGACCAGAAGTTGTGCATCGTGTTCTTCCTGGTCGCAGAAATTACAGCATTGGTAACAAGTGTTCAAAGAGCTGTCAGTAACTGCTTCTTTTTAATGAAGTTGTTGCTTTCTTTTGGGAAAAACTGTCTATTTTAAGGTGCTCCATTAAATTACGGTGGAGACCAGAATTACGCTTCATTGCATAGAACCTTCTGGAAATGTATGAGAAGAGCACCGTCATGCAAATGAGAGGTAAACAGTGTGGCTCGGGTGTTAGTCGAGCTGTGACAGATTAACCAATGTAAGAGCTAAATGAGTTGCAATGGGCAACAGGACATAGGCCTGATCCACTCTCCAATGTCTCTCAGGAAAATCTATGATCATAAGGATTTAGGAAAGGTATTAGTTGTTCTGCTTGCACAACTCTTTCTCTTTAGAGACACTCTTTGATCTGATGCAGAAGGTAATTTATAAACTCAGAGGAAACACTTCTAGAAACCAATTTAAGCTCCTGTTAATGTGGGGAAAAACAACTCAGATTACATTCATTTTTGGTGAATATCCCATTTTTAAGCTGCTAATGTCTGTGTTAATTGCAGTAAATTATTATTATTATGGACATTTTATTTTGTTGCTAAATAGATTTGAAAATTTAGAGCAAATTGAGAAAGAAATTTGGCATACAAACTTGGGTCTTCGGTGCTCTCTGTAGTGTTTTTTGGACAAATATTATTGCTACAATGTGGAAAAAGATTTTGCTAAATCACTTCACACGGTTCAAAGTGTTTATCCATGCCTAATCCTGATTCACTCTTCCAAAAACCATCTGATTTTGAATATTTTTAAATGCAAGTTTCATATGAGTGAGTAATTTAGTTATTTAATCACAAGTGTGTAATTTAATCACATCATTTTTAACATATTTTCGTAGGTCTAAATGCAATTGGAGCTGATGTATAGATTTGACTTTATTTTTGTGTTTGAATGTGTCAGATTCCCCAGAACTTGCCCTGCTCAGTGACCCTGCAGCCGGGAGCAGAGGACACCGGGAAGGCGTGTGGCGTGGACTATGAGCTTCAAGCGTTCTGCGCAAAGAATGTAGAGGAGAAGATACACCAAAGGTCCATTACATTCCGATGCTTAAGACAAACTAAGCTAGCACATTCCCCTAGAGAAAAACAGTGTTGTTGTTAGAAAGGCACTAAATTGTAGTCACTGGCCAGGTTTTCCTTTTGCATCATCCCTTTTATTTCCAACAGCTAATAACCAATATGTTGTGCCTTGTAGGAATTTTCACTGCTAACTGTTGCTGGCCAGTGCAGGCAACAGTTAAATATAGGGATGGACTGATACCTCTTTTTGATTTCCGATACCGATACCGATACTTCAACTTTGAGTATTTGCCGATACCGATACCAATACCGATACCATCTCTCCTCCTAAAGTTCTTTGGAAATACCTTATTTGCATGAGTACATTTGTTTAAGATGACTTTATCAAAAGCCTCATACTATTAAAGCATAGACTTTGCTTTTCTAAGAAAGGAAACAACAGCCAAAAGCATGTCTCAAAGTGAAACTGTAGCTGCTTTATTTGAGCTGCAATTAGACTACAGTGTGCACTCAGTGCCATTCAGATACTTAGAACAGATCAAAATGACACAGCAACATTAAGCTGCAATTTAAAGGTTAAATTACCAAAACTTGGTATTAAATAGTAGTACCACTAATAGCCGCTCTCGGCTCTGCGCATGAGCAGTAGTAAATGAGGCTGGAAACGTTGTGAACTGCTGCGGGATCGAGAAGGGTCTGACTGCAGCCGGAGCTAAGGCACAGCCCCTACAAACCACGCCCACATGACCCTACGTGGCTGTGGGGTTCCACAGCATGTCAAATGTAAACAGAAGGGAAATAAAGCAATAATGCAATAACGGGAGCAATTTTACCAACTTTGACGGTTG